AAAAAAAAAAAAAAAAAAAAAAAAGAGTCTCGTTAATGTCACATTTAAAAATAATAATAATAATAATAATAAAAAAGGAGACTAAGTTGAAACAGCGTCTGCTGTACAATAGGAATCCGCTGGGTCTGCTTTGTACACTGAGGGTGTCGGGGTGCCCCTCACCCCCAACACCGGCACGTGCCCAGTCCAACACACACGGTACAGCTCCCGATCCTCCACTCGGCACCAGTGCCCACGGGCCGCAGTCACACCTTTCCCTTTTCTCCTAGATCAGTATTTCCCAAGGCGAGAGCTACGCCAACACCTCTAACTCAGTCAACAGAGGGGACAGTGGTGTGAGATTTCCAGCAATTCACCCTGGAAGGGTGAATTCAGTCAGCTATAGAATCAAATTTGGGTGTTGTGGAAGGAGGAAATCTGCCTCTGACCGGTGAAGAGCAGTGATGTTACTCCTCCCTGTCCCATACAGGCAGTGTTCAGGAACTCAATGGAGTGGATGCAGAATTCCACCAGCACAGCACAAACAGTGGTGCCAGCTGAATTCTGTCACATGTGTGACTTGGGTCCCCTCTAACCATGACTGATCTGTGGAAGCAAAATGGCATGTTTGGCTCCCAAACGGGGAGACTGTGCAAACATGAGCACCTGGGAACTGCCTGGAGGACTTGAACCCCAGAATCAACTACGTGCTCTTACACAAACCCACACTACAGCTGTTTGAGTCCACAGAGCTGTACTTCAAATAGGGACAGAAGTGCTAGATGAAATGTTCTGGTTTCATACCATACTTGTACACTCACATACACCTCAAAACTACCTTCTTTTTTTTTTCCCAAACAAGACTGATAAAGTAAAAATAAACAACCCTACAATCTTCTTTGACTAAATAAAAAGCTTGTGTTTTAACAGAATTTGCCATCCAAATTGAACACAATTCCTCTACAACATTATGGGATTCGAGTGATCCCTCTGGCTTGTCGCATTTCTTCCCTCTGTACCCACCTGCAGTTAGTTTCTGTACTTGAGACATTCACCTCTCCATTATTTTTCATACAGTGAGCTTACTGTGGATTCTTTCAGAGCAAGACTGATCACATCCCCTGGATTTAAGCATCAGATTCTGGAGGAAATCCTAACATTTTGCTACGGAATTATTTGACCTTCACTAGGGCCTTTCCAGCCCTTTACAGTGACACAGACATACAAATACTCATCCCAACCTGCTGGACAGTACTTCAAGTACCATGAGTTTTGTTCCTATCCAGGTGAGTTACTGCAGCAGCCTGGTGACAAAAGCGAGGCAGGAGAATCCCAAGTTGAAACTCACCAAAGGACCTGATTAGTTAAGGACTAGGTAAACAATAAATAAGCTTATTACTATGAACAGGAATAAACAGTAACAGGCTAGCAGGAGTGAAGTAACGAGGAGCACATCAGGCACAGTTCCTGACACGTGCATTTGCCGTCATTTAGGAAACGTAGTTTGTTAACCCTTGCAGTGCTAGGAGCAAATGGAGAGGTGCATGCCTTGCTAGATCCCAGTCATCCAGCCCTTCCATCCACACCCTGAGCAACAGCATCACCAAGTCTAGAATAAGCTCTCCTAGAGAAGGTTTCATGATGATGAGGAGAAAAAAAAAACTAACCACCAACCATCTCCTAAACTGCACTCAGTGGAAGGCAGATTTCTCCAGCGAGAAGCGAGGGTCATGAAGAGGAAGGAGCACCCCAGGTTGTCCCACACTAACACGCTTCTTTTGGCTGACTGAGGCTATTTCTAACACTCTCTGTTACACCAGAGAAGTTACAAAGGCTTTCTCAAGTTCAAGGCAACAGCAGTGTTTCTTACAACCATTTCTCACACCTTCCTGTAAGGGTGGTGAGGCACTGGCACAGATTGTGTTGTGGGCTGGATGTGGCTCTGGGTAACCTGGTCTAGTGTGGAAGGTGTCCCTGTCTGTGGCAGGGGGTTGGAATGAAATGAGCTTTAAGTTCCTTCCAACCCCATCCTTCTGTGCTTCTTTGATTTTTTCTTTCCCTGCAGTGGAAAATGGTTACCTGCAGGCAAGATGATGTGCTGGCAACAGCACAACCAGGGTTATTTTTGGAAGAGCACTCCTGTGGGTTTCTGTGCTTGCAAAACCTCTGGATTTTTAGGTATGCGTGAAAAGGAGGAGAATGTTTCAAGACTGGGACTGGTAGATTTTTAGTCAAGGAAAAAGCAAATTTGGTCATTAGCACAAGTAAGAGACCCCATTCTAAAACATGAAAAGATAACATGTTCAAATGATAAAATGGCCAGGACCCTTTGACAGTGCCACCTTTTAAAAGGTGGGTCTGTGTCTTTACAGTGACAAAGGGTTTATTTGGTATCCTACCTTTGTTTCCAAGGGCCTCCAGCCACATACCTCTGACACCTCCCAGCACACTCCCACTGAAGCCAAACTCCCAGGTTAGCCTGCAGAAACACCACCAAGCACAGACACAGGCAGAAAACACCACCACAGAGCACAGACTCCTAATGCAGTGCTCCAGGCACCCTCACTTTAACCTTCTCCACATTAAAAAGAAAAAAAACCAAGAAAGCCTTATATCTGAAAGTAAAGAAAGTCACCTTCAGAGCTGAACAGGGTTTACATTCAGAACTATGGCTACAAACCTACAATTTTCACTGCAATGTCTTTTGGACTTTAGTGGAAGATGCTATTTCTAGACAATAAACCATCTAATTAGGCTTCTCAAGCTAATCAGGTTACAAAATGCCTTCTCGAAAAGTCACAACAGTTTAAAAAAAGCCCTCCAATGGCAATTTAATTATGCCCTGATAGACATTATGTAGAAACAGGACTTGTGCCAGCAAGCAAGGCTGCACCTAGATCCCACTTCCCTTGCCGGGAGCTCTGTGAACACACCCATCTCTAGAGCAGTCATTTCAGTGCTCAGTCAAGTGAAACAACAACACTTCTAATTGCCAAACTAACATTTGTGGTTTTACACACCTGTGCTACCTCAAGAGACCCGATTAACTGTTCCTCTTCTGCTCCACTTCATGCTGACAGAGGGCCTGTCAAGCTCCGTTAGTACCAGGGAAGAGGGGCAAGAGAAGGAATTCAGGCTTAAGTTCTGTTCTACCCAACCACTTAACAGCAATCCTACCATGTACTGACTCCCCACCGAACCTTCTTCACTCAGACTTCTGCTGCTGCTTCCTTGTGTTTGTAGTACTTTGCTACAAAACCAGGAGTGTTTGTGAAAGACTCACTAGCACAGTAAGTCTAAAACCATACCACTAACAGTTTGCTGCCCATCCTCAGAACGGGATGAAGGTACATTTGCAAAAAGCTTCAGTTGCAGCAAATGCTCACAGTATTTTGTATATGCTATTCTGTACATTCAGCATCATCAGAATCAGCTGGTCCACACTTTAAAGTGTCCCAAAACCACCTCCACTGTTCTTCTAGAGAACGATGAGGAGAACTGGAAATGTCAGGTCTTACCTAGCAGCGTGCTAGGTGGGAAAATAAAGTTTTTACTGCAGCACACACAGGTGAGCACATCTAAAAGGTGAATAAAATATATCCTACTGTACACATGGACTTTTGTGCACTCTTCTAGATTTCAGCAACACATTCCATGTTTCAGTCAAAGCATGAGTTTTGTGACCTCCACACCTCCTTTTACTTGAGGAACAAAGACGAAGGTAAGAAGAGGTCACAGCTACTGTTGCAGCTTTTCTAAAACACCTTCTTTGGGCTCTCATGTTGATGGTAACTACGTGAAAGCTACTTCCCTTAAAGATCCAGACATTTCTGCCTTTCACACAACACTATCATCCTGCCATCCGCTCCTGCTTGGCCTTCTGGACTGGCACCTGTGTCCTACATCCCAGGAAACGCCAGTTGCTATCACTGTCAATTGTAGTTGTGGAAACAAAAACGACCCTTCAGCGTGGTTCAGACTATGCCACTCAAACCATTGAGACCCAAATTGTGGTTACAAACCACTGTGATAACCCACAAGTAATTGTTACACAGACAGAGCACATTGAGCATTCAGTCATTTTCTGCATCGCTGACAGAGCACGGCACTGCCAGTGTGTCAACACCCTCTACAGACAGTTAATTTGGAAGGGGAACAGCTTGGCAGCAGTGAGGTAAAATAAAAGGAGGGTTAGAATTTTACTGCATAACAAAAAAGTTGACCGAGTAACTGATCAGGGCACTTCCTGCCCACTGACAGTGGCACTGTTCACTACTGACGGTCTACGCGCCTCATGCCTACACCGTGTCTTTAACCTACTGAAATAGTTGTACAGCTCACATGAGTATTCGATCCTGGTCAGTATTTTATTCTATCTGGCGAGCAGCAGAGGAAGAAAGGGAGGACATCTTTTCAGCCAAAAAAAATCCACAGTCACAAAAGCAGGATATTCACTAGGAGATGACACCAGTGACTGGTGTCCTTAGGTTGTCCAAGACTATGCTCTGAAGATGCTTTACACAGACGAGCAAGATGTCCAAAACAAGGCCAACTGTGGTGTAAGATGCAATTTACCCTTTAATTTCCTGCCTCAATTTCACCCAGCCACAGAGGATGACTAGATTTCAATATGAACCATTACCTAAATCATATAGTCGGTATGCAGATATATGTCTGTCTTTAAAAATTTACTTAAAAACTGCTTGAGCTGCAGGTCATATCAGTCTGGTTTGGAGAGTGAAGGCAGTTCCAACAGTACAACAGAGACTTGTCTACAGGCAGGTAAACGAGAGTCTGCTAACAAAGGGGTAACAAAAGCTGCTGGCTGGGCTGCCAATGTTGCACACAAACTTTCATAGGATGAAGATGCTGTGGATGAGATCCAGGATGGGAAAACTGAGCCAACACCTGCTGCTGTTCTAATTTTTTTTTTTTTTTTTTTTTATTCTCCTCTCACAAGAGGGGGTGGGTAGACTATACAGAGGAGGGCTGTACAAAACTGGGCACTGGGCAGGCATTTCTTCAGCAGGAAATCCAGGCTCTACCTGTCCTTGAGCTCTCTTGTCACCCGCTTGGTGATGCGTCCACACATGAGGCCGATGAGGAAGAGTATACAGATGCCAACTGTGATCACAGACAGTATGTAATTCTTGGATGGAGAGGTCATAACTTGCATGGCAAGGTCAGAAAAGCCTTCTGCTGGGGCAACCTGGAGGTGAAAAGGGAACAAATGAGCCAAGCTGTGCTTTCCATGCAGCCCTCAGCCGTGGCATTTATCAGCTTTAGTCTCTGGTACTGCTCCTGCCTCCTGTTGTCGTCAGACTTGGCCTGAAGCAGAAACAAGCAGGCCCTGCAATGATTCATCTGAAGGAATCGCTGCTCAGGAGGCACCTTTATAACAGGAAGTTCTGCTGCCCCTATTTCACAGCCCCAAACCTTCTTAGTTAGGAGACTAAGCCCTATATGCACAAGAGACAGCTTAATTCTGCATTGTTGGAGATGCAGACACAAGAGAGTAAGATCTAAGTTCAAAAAAAGAAGACCTGTTTTCAGTTCTTCTAGACCAAAGTCAAAATACTGAACTTCATTCAGAAACAAGAATTTCATTACAGTTGAAGTTTTTCATAAACAGCTTGCAACTGAGAGATCTAATGCATAAAAAAAAAAGGAAATCTTATACATATTCACCTTTGCAGCATAGCTCCACATTTCAATACGATCATTAAGGCGTTTCTTGCATTCAGGCTGCAACCTCACACGCTTATCTTCCAGAGCTTCCATTAAGCATGACATTTCTGTAATGTGCAGAAGATGGTGTTACAAAATAGAAACAGCAGCTTCAACAATGTGCTGTGGAAAGGGGCACTTCCATTCTCCTGAAGGCTGCTGGTTACACGGCTTTCAGAACAGACCAGCCAGCTGGGCAGAATATAAACAAACCCCTGCACCCCTGAGGCTGGCAATGGCACCAAGATTCATGAGCAATATTGCATTTGGAGGTGCAAGGAGTATAGACTTACAAAAAGAAATTACAGCACATATACAATATATAATTCATGTGATTTACATGAGATTTCTGGAAGTCTGCTAAATTTGCACCTTCAATGAGCTGTACACTCTAAATTCCATGCCACTACCCTTTAGACAGAGCTAAGATCAAATTCAGCTCAGGAAAAAACACAGTCTTATCTCCTTAGGCTTGTTAGGAGCTTCTTTTGATCAACAAAATATTCTGAACTGTTTAACTTCCTGAGTTTTCACACAGTGCTGTGAAAAGGAAGTGGGATCACAGTGTTCTGGTGCCTATGGAGCGGCCCGGCCAACTCATGAGCTCTTTTATATGCTCATATGAGACACTGACATCAAATTTTGTATTTTATACTCATGCTACCATACTTGACTAATCCCTAACTGGATGCTTTCTGCTTTGCAGCGAAGAGTTATTTAGTTCATAGCAAACAGGCAGCAAACTTTAAGCCAACTCCAGACTTATAATACACAATTGTCAGTTCAAGCACTCGCAGGCAGAGCCCTCTCTAAGCTACAGACTCCTGCAGACCTTCAGTGCAAACACATCAGAACACACATCAAAAGAATTATGACAAAGCAGGAATAAACAAAGGATATCCAGAATTTCAAAAAGGCATTCAGTAACCAGCACAAAAGATAATGATCAGGAAAATACTTGGCTGCTATTTTTAATGCCAGATAAACTCAGAAAGGTGGGAAAGTTCAGAACTATTTTCCCCACTAAGCTTTCCTTAAACAGCCATACATACTATGGCAGCTAACATAACAGCAGTAACAGAGTGCAAGAGCTTGACTCAAACAGGAAAGAAAGTGTTAGGAAATACTTATTTGTACTATATTTCAAGTGGTCCGAGCTTGCTGAACTCAGAGGACCTGGAACAGCTGATGAAGTCTCAAAGCTTTTAGCTCCTACGTGAACTCAGAAAGTCAAGTCATGATTACCTACCCTCTGCAATGTTGGAAAAGAAAAAACTGGTATGTTTAAGCAGAGAAGAAAAAAATTAAAGTACTTCAGTTTAATTTTAAATACTGAAACAAAGAAGCCAACCATGGACAAAGACTGACACAAAGAAAGAAGGATCAAGAGGATTAGGTAAGAATGACTCTTGTGAAACCAAACCAACTTGCTGCTCTATGAAAAGCAGCATAGTTCTAGGAAAGCTTTTGGTACAGTCTGATAGAACATTGTCATAAGTAAGGTTGGGAGCTGTATCTTGTGTGAAGCTTGATACAAGGTGGGAGATAAACCTCACTGAAAAATGAGTCCATGTGTATTAAGAGCTCATTCTCAACGGGATTTAACTGAGGAGGGATTTTATAGAAGGTTTATGGATCTGGTATCACACACTATTGCCAGCAATCATATGAATGATGGCACAGAAATATACTCATTTAATCTGCAGATAAGGCTGCAAAGGTATTTTATATCAGGACTGAGGAATAAACAGGTCCTGCCTTGGACACAAGGAAGGACTTCCTGATACCCATCCATCTACCACCTCTGCTGCTGTTCCATCCTGTTGCCCACAAATGACTGGTGGAAATATCCTGTTCTTAAGACTACACTGGGAAGAAAATGCAGGTTAAGTATTTCAGGACTGAGAGGTTACAGAGGTACAGCACAAGCACTTACGGCGTCCTCTCCCCGGTGGAATGGCAGCACAGTGGTGTTTGATGTCCAGGGCACAGGCTGTGTGGAGCACTGGGTCAACAAATATATCTGCTTTGCTTTCCTTCAGCATGTTGAGCACTTCCTGGGGAGGAGGAAATCACAAGTACACCTCAGAAAAAGGAGAGAGAACAAAACTCACGCTGCTCAATATTTCTGAAAGGTGTTCCAACTTTTAAAATCCAGGATCATGAGAAAATCCACCACTGTCCATGGATGAGGCTATGAATGCTAGTTTAGGCTTAAGTAAGTGTCCTGGTCTGTAACATTTACAGTAGTTATGTTCATTAAAATACTCATATTAATCTAAAATACAAAGACAATATGCCAGGGTTCCTTCAGTTAGAACTGAAATCAGCCACGGGTGATTCAGACAGCCATGCCCAGCACCCAGGCAGCCTGCAATGGAGACAGCACCAGGACACAGATGAGTAACAAGAAACTTTGGCAACCACAGTCAAGGAAGAATTCAAACCTGGAATTGCAGAGGAGGCACTGTCGACACAATTTTGACTGGCAAAATTGAAACTGAATTGAATCACTGCAGGCCAGAACCGAGATGTGTAGGGAAACTTCAGAGCTCTGGCCTCATAATAGCTACAACATGACCTAGGCTGTGATCTGGAAAAATCACAGACTTCTGCAGGGATGGGATGCCTTTTAGAGCACATCCAATTTATTTCCTTTACCTTCTTGCACATTTCAGTTTTTATTTTCAGCAGATTCACTTTCAGACATTCTTCCACCTGCCCCGTCTGCTCCTGAGCTGCTGCTTCTTCTGCACACAAGCTGGAAATCTATTTTGAAAAAGGTGTTTTAACATAAGTAGTTCACAACAATCATTCTGCCTTTTAGCACATTTATATCTCAATACATTAGTTCATCACAGGGCACAGCTAGAGAATACATGATGAGACTCCTTGCCCCCCAAATCCCCAGAGCCAAATGCAGCCTGGCTCATGCAATATGCATACCCTTTAAACCCAGCAGCAAGAAGTCAATACTGCTGTACTGAGGAGGAGGGCAGAGAGGAAAACAGCATGGAAAGAATGTGAAAGTATGAAATAAGTAACACTTGAAGCATGACCAACTCTGTCATCAAAAGTGAAAACCCAAAAACCTGAATGTATTCCAGTTAAGGCTGACAAGACCAGAGAACTAACAGACTTTTTTTTTGACAACAGGAAAGCAGTATTTTTCCATAGTCACAAGTACTGATGAGATCCCAGATAAAAAAATTAACTTCATATTAGCACTGCACAGGAAACTGCAATTCCTGCACACTGGGCAAAAGTCACAAGCAGAGAATCTGACCAGCTAGAGGCAGCTCAAAGGGATTTTTTAAAAATTTAATTATTGGGGAAGCTTCTTGTTTTCAGAGACAAAAATCTGTTACATGAAGGGAGTTTTCATCCTGAGAAAGTAGCTCTGGAGCTACTTCTCCTACCTCATCAGAACAGTGCATCTGAAGCTGGGGATCCAGCCGATAATCAAGGGCTGATTCCTGGATTATGACCCGAATTTGGTCCTCGCAGTCAGGAGAGAGACGCTGTGAAGAGGAGAAAGTCATTAACTCACTCAATGACCTTCATTTTCCTAATCAATCACCTTGTATTTTAACCTCTGTATTCTCTAATACTTGCATAGGAACATAAAACCCTCATTTACGTACAGCCTGTCACAAACACTGAACACACCACGAGCCCAAGTTTGATTTGTTGTTCAGTGACTGTTGCTCACCACGGTCCTGCACAGTCTCTCATTTGCCTGCACCAGCTCTACTCACCTGGTCTGCATATTTCAACTTCAGGCATGAGATGACTTGCCCTTCCAACTCTGTATCATCCTTGGCCCTGTTCAGGATATTTTGGCAGAATTTTGGTATGTCTGCTTTGCACGCCTTCCTGAGCACGGGGTTTAAGCGGTAATCTAAGTGGGAAAGGTGACAGAACTTCATTAGAGCACACATCTCTTCAGGCTGCAGAACACAACACTCCCAAAGAGACTGCACAGAAATTTCCTAGATGTCATTGTACCACCAAGGAACTTAATTTTGGGGGAAAACAGTATTTCTTCACAACAGAATTTCAACTTATGAGGTAAGAGCTTCAGGAATAAAGAGGGTTCAAAAACACATGCTGACCCTCAAGAACTTGACTGAGATCAGAGTGTGCACTGAAAACCATGAAGAATAAAACAAAACTGATATTCTTCCAGCCATGCAAATCACTGAACAGCTCAGACAAGCAAGTGAAGTTCCTTTCAGAAGAAGATACCTGTGTTCTGTGTGATCTGGCGCTTGGTAATCATCTGCTTGCATTTAGGATCCATCACTTCACTGTTCTTGTTTTGTTTCAAACACTGGAGCATATTTTTGGAGTCTGCCTCTGGACAAAACCGCTACCGAAAAAAACCAAAAAACAAGTTTCATCACTAAGCACTTGAAAAAGCAAAACCCAAACCCAACAAGCAGCTTCCAACTCATGGAAGAGAATAACCACGTGGCCAATGCAGAGGTGCATACAGTCCCCATCCCCAACACCTACTGCAAAGAACAGTCTCTGAATTGACTGTGGGCATTAATGTCTGTGCTTACAGACTGAGCTGTACAGTCCTGATTGACTTCTAAGCACCACCTCCTGTTGGCTGTATCAAAAGCAAATTGCCTTTATTTATTTTCTGTTCTTAAGATACAGCACACTTGGAAAAAAACACCCACCAAATTAGGCCTCATACTCAAATACTTTTGCTCCCCTTTATTTTAGAAACAAAAAAAGCAATCTTTAAGTCAATACACATACTACTGTTCTGTATCAATGCTGCCTGGACAAAGCAACAGGTAAAGACTTCATTATTAATGCTCAGGACAAACTAAGACCACATAGAAGGACAAAGCAGAGAGGAGCTCACTGATACCAATGTGCCCACTCCTGCCCCAAGTCAGACAGTCAAAAGTGAACCAGAGCTTACCCAAAATTCATACCAAGACACTAATTTCTTTTGTTAGAAACTAATTGTGTGGGTGTAAGATAAGGCTGTTGTGTTTTCTAATCCTCACTACTTTGGTGAGATCACAGGTCTTTGTATAAAAGCATGAGTCTGCACTGGAGAAAAAAATTCTGAAGATGTGCTTCTTCAGCCAAAATATGGAATAAGGGCACTGCACAAAGACCACACATACTAATGTTTCAGGGCTTGCAATTTTTCCTACTGTGAAAGAGTGTCTTATATGAGCATTCACTGCTGCTTTCCACATGGTACCACTTTCAACTATCATTTCTAATTTTAAATTTTGCATAATTTTGCCCGTTTTATTGCTTTGATGAAAGTCTGTGTGCACCAGGTCAGCAGTGAACTGAAGATTTTACACTTCTCTGTAATCATAATTTCTTCACCTTTGCATAAAGCCAATCCAAATCCAAACTGACTGAATGAAAACTGCACTAGAAGCCTCAGCACTGATTGCCTCCTCAATTCTGCTGGTGGTTGGGTAGACAAATTTATTAGTGCACAGGCTTTGATCAGGAAGTTGAAAGAGAAGAGCCCTGAAGAAACCTCAGCCTGATTCAGAGTTAAGAAACAGATTACTCTGCAAAAAAAGCAATCATACTTCTAAAACAACACAGCAGTCTTGTAACAAGCCTTTATGGGCAGCTCAAAGCCAACAGAGCTCTTATATCCCAACCTCACCCTCTTAAATAAACACTGACATTACCTTGATCATCTGCTTGCAGACTCTCATGAGTGTGTAGTCCAGTTCTGGATCCATCATCTCCGTCTCCTGCAGCTTAAACACCTTCTGGTGGCACCTTGTGCTCAACTGCTTCTTGATTTCTTTCAGGCATTCAATAATCTGCCAACACAGCATTGCAACCATAAGGGACACCCTGGGGACACAGCTCTGTCACACACAGCTGGGTGTTCCCCTAACCACCTTCCTTCACCTGATTTGGGCAGTTAAGTTCCCAATGCCTAGATTTTATCAAAGTCATTACCAGTGCTTGTTTCCAGGACTTGTCTTAAGCTCATCTTTTCTCACAAAGATTTAATGAGATGAAGAGGGTCTCCTGGACTTACTCCAAAACCACAAATCTCATCTTGCAGACATTATGCCTAAGAAATCTTTCAGCAACACTTGCAGTAACCAGCTGCTAATAGCTTAAAATTAGCACTAACTGAAGAATGAAGTGCTCGCAGCCTTGCATTCACCCACTATTAATGCTTGTGCACCAGTGGCAAAAAAGAAATTAACGTTCCAAAGCACTACCAAAATATTTCAGTGATATCAAAATGAAAATCTCAAGCTGCACTTACAGGGGCAAAAGTGCTCTTCAAAAGTTTTCTGAAATGAAAGTACAAATTAAATTGTAAGTTATTAATGAAGTTCATTACCTGAGCATTGCCATAGGGCACGTTCTGGCAGTAATTCTTGATGTCACTTTTACAAGCCTCGTACAGCTCTGGTTCAAGTCTGATATCCTCAGTCTGCAGGACAAATTACAATATGAACTTTTAAGTAGGACTCAAGGCTACTATACTTTGTTAATCTCTTAACTAGAGAGGCCTCTACTCACAAAAAGCAAGACACTCTCACAGCAGGCATTCGGTTTCTTTGAATTTAAGGGTCTTGGGTGCAAGAAGTGATGTTAGTGGGAAACCAACTTTGCAATTCCCTGCAGTGATCAGTCAGCTTTTTAGGCTGAAGGAAAGATTTAAATCAAATTTTAGAGCTGGTAAGTTGTTTCCACTGCTTCTCCTAAAAGGGTATCATTACAAACCTCCAAGACAACTGAAGTCTTTCCATGTGAAAGCCAAAGGACATATTAACAGCCACCCATCTAGCAGGTGATCTGGAGGCTGTGACTGAAGTTTCCTGATTTTGGTGATGCCCAGCATTTGAATTCTTCCATACAAAGGCAAGAGTGATGCCTCTTCTGACATGGACCTACTTAAGGTGAAGCTTTAACACTCAAACAGTACCTACTGGACAAAGACCTTAAGAGTTTATTGCTGCAAGCACTGCAGCAGGAAGCTGAGAGGCAGCTTTGCCTACCAGAACAAACACTACTCCTATTTATCCACTGAGCAACTTGAAGCAGCTGGAGTTGAGTTGCTTCATCTGTGCTTGTTTCCTCAGCCCGTAAAATGAAGCTTTTGTTCTCTCCTAGAGGACTTGAAGAACATCAGCATGTGTAGCACGTTGCTATCTAACACTAAACATAATCACTTCTAGCTGAAATTCCAATGACCATTTAGCTTGCCTTGGCCTTCCTGAGACTGTATTTAAGGCACTAAAGTAGACAATCATTACTTTCACCGTGAAGGGCAATTGAGCCTCGTGTTGTAAGAAGAGTGGAAAAAATAAATTAGATACCTTTTACAAATGAGCTTCCTTTCCCCTCCCCCCCAAAGTGGGGAAACCATGAAGCTTTAACTGAAGAACTTGACTAGAAGAGAGGGGAGAACAAGAGTTTCAGGCATATTTACCATCTCTAGCTCCTCAACACGCAGCTGTTTGCGGCACTTCAGGGAGACCCTGTGCTCCTTGGCATCCTGCAGAGTGTCATTGCGCACAGTTGTGCTCAGACAGATCACTACATCCACCCTGCAGAAGAGAAAACAGCTTTTTTACTCATCCACCCTTCACTGAACCAGCCAAGGTTGGTGTTGGATCACCACACCAGAGAAACCGACTGCAATAATCCAAACACAATATAAAGTCCTTGTGCATCTGTGCTTACTTATAGCTGGGGTACAGCTCTATGCAGAGCAACTGGACCACAATTAAACCCTAAATCTGATGCCATCTAATTGGAGTCTACACCAAAAGACAGGAATATATTCAAAACCCCATCTCACCTCTGCCCAGCAAGACCTTGGCTCCTAAGTCACGTCAGCACTTTAGAAAAGCTTTGCTTAATCTCAGGAATAGATGAAGGTGAATACCTACACAGCATTGCAAGCAATCCTTTTACACCATAGGAAGGGCATTGATATCATAAAATGCAAATAGTCTTGCTATCCACAAACAGGACTGACCTTGTGTGTAATTCAGCCTTACATCATTGCAGCAGGCCATTAAAAAAACCCCTTACACTGAATGAACAAACCAGCTAAAACAAGTGGGATATCTTCCCTTCCCAGATCAGCAACTGGAACAACAGCAGTCTGCCTCTTATAAGAAGATGGATCTAGCAAGGATATAAAACATTCTGGGACATGCAATCCACTAATTGTAATAATTAGCTATTTTCACAGCAAGAACAATAAAGAGGACAGGCTTGTATCCAGCAGGAAATTTTGAAGAAGCAGGCAATGCCTCTGCCTTAAGCATCTGCAGAACACAGTCACTAAGGGAACACATACAAAACAATCAGCCTTTAAAGGAAGTCCAGTGTTTTCTGTCCTCTCATGAAATATCCTGTAACTTAATTACATATTTATACAATCAGATTGCTGTTTGGTCAGCATACATACTTTTTTTTGATGTTGGGGCAAAGTTTCAGCACATCCTCCTTGCAAGCCATTTTAAACTTGTATGAGAACCTAAAATCTTTCATTTGAACCTGCAAGAGAGAAGTGGGGAGAAAAACAACTTTGGTCACTTGGAATTAAAAATACCCTCAAACTGAAACAAAAACTGTTGCCCAAAAGAACACTTGCTGAATCATACAATCAGCAAATGCTTTTGTTCACAACTTGTTAATGTGGGAGCAAGGGGGGATGCTGCACTGCTGAAGAAGTTGGGACCCTGTCTCCCATATGCCAGGGAGGAAGGAGAACCTGAAGTTAAATCAATCATCTCCAGAAGTGACCATTTATGATCAGGCATGCAAGTACAACTGTCTGAATTCACAGGAGCTCTTTAAATACAGTGGGAAATCAATCTCAAAGAAGGAGGGGTTTCATAAATCAACCCCCTGAAAGAACAGAACAGGCTTCCACTGACAGAGGGAAGCATTGCTTACCAGCTGGAAATGAGTAACTCCAATTGCACATTTTTCATTCATTTCCTTCTGGTGTTTGTTCTGTATTAGACACTCCATCAGGTCCCCAGAATCAATCTGGTTATCTGCAACCTCCTGAAAAAGAGATGGAAGGTTTAAAAATGAGCTACTCCTACAAGTCAAGGTTCTTATGCTCCTTTAGACAACTGTGACCAGGAAACACAGAACTTACAGTCCCACTCTTTATGGTGAGCTTGCTACTGACTGAGCACCCTGGAGCTGCACCACACAACTCTAGTACACAACTGCATTTATAAAATTCAGAAAAGAACCATCTCAGGAACATGCACACTTCAACTCAGGGGAACATACTAGAGACTCAGTGCTCACATGACATATTATAATTAGGTGCCTTCACTGCTATTTAACTACTCAATCCTAGATCAGTGAAGTTATTTCAGCAGTGCTGAGCAGCTGCACACAGTGGAGTGGCTACACACACTGGCTGCAGGTAAAGGAGAAGGAAAAGAGTCTAGTATTGAACTCACTGTAAAGAGTGATTTTTGCAATTACAAGGCCATTTTCATCTTCAAACTCTAGCTTTTATGCTAAGGCTCTGACAAGAGCAGAAGGATTAGGTGGAACTAAGAATTTTTATTTCAGAGTGACTTTTAAACTAAAGACTTTTGAAACTGATTATCTCTGATTTTACTTTTGAAGTGCAGCAAGAACTAATACTAAAACCTTCTGATCTTTCCCACAAAGTGCTTTTTCCTCAAAGATACACTGTCACAGAGTACTCACATGACAGAATGTCTGGATGATGGGCTCACATGCTCTCATCAGCAAGGCTTCAATTTGGATGTCCTGCAGAAAACATGCAATATTTCGTTTTCACAGTGAATGGACAGGAAAAAAAGGCTGTGAAAAAAACCCTGTGATAAAAACTCAAACTCAACCCACATTACAGGGTTTTGAAAAATGCAATCCAGACAGCTTCACCCTTCAGTTCTGCAAATCCCATGGTTCACTGTTATATGGCAAATGCAAGACAAGCCTTCCACCTTAAGGGAAGAGCCTGGTCTCCACAGAAACTCCTTTCTTGGATAATTCAGCCAGTCTCCTCCAAACTGGGTGCTACAGCACTAGAAATGACCTTACACCCAGGTAGAAGTTGAAGATTTATGACAGTTATGAGCAAATAAAAGTTTCTACCCACTGGAAGGAAGCTTTCTCTAGGGCACAATGTAAATTTTAAGTGATATGTCAAACAGTCTGGGGCATGACAGTCAAATATGCAACTTCATAAATTGTTTAAGCTGCCAATCTCATTGAAAATCTGTATTGATCTACCTGGTGGTGATTTCTTGCAAAAATTTGGGTTAGGGAGGGAAGCTGCAATATGGTACTCAAAACTACTTGCAAGTAAGACTGAAATCTGAAGTCCCAACATGTATCTTGACTTGTATTAAAAGGTACCTGGGTTACCTGTGTAAGAAATGTTAGCTTCAGTACCAGAAGTGATCTTTTAAGCAGGAGAAATGCCCTCACCAACCTAAAATCCTGAACTGTTGCTCATTTCTCTTCCTCAAGAATCCTCCATGAAAACTTCCATTGTATGGGATAAAAAGGATGTTCTTTGATCCCAGAGCTGCATTTCTGCAGCTCCTCTGACCTCAATTTTTTTTCACCATCATCAAAATGACATGGCTTAACTAGACATGCTCAACTATTCCCTTTACCCCAGGCTGAAAACCACTCACCTCAGACTCCAGCTCAGTGAGGTTTCCCACTATGTCCCTGCAATCAGACACCAAGTCATCAAGATGGTCCTGAAGGCATTCCAGCTCCTACAGAAACAGACATTTTAGTGTGTGCTCCAAGAACCCAAGCTGAAATTTTGGGCTTAAAACACTGTTACACATGTGAAACTGCCCTCCTCTTGGTAAAGTCCTAAATCTCATTTAATCCCACTCTCTACCAGCACTCCCACACACACACACGTAGCAGTGATTGAGAATGTTGGTGTAAGACATTACCACTTGCTCTCAAAGGCTGCATGATGTGCTTTCACTTCTGGAATATCACATTTGATTTGCCCTTTGCATAACCTTAAGGAGAGGTTAGTTACCCAAACTACAACCTGTGATGGGCACTTCAAAAGGACAGTGGTGTGTGATCTAAGGCATCTGCTGCCCAATGGCTCCTTCCCTACAGCCCTCCTGGGGCACAGCAATTTAACATGAAAGTATTTGTTGAAACTTTTGTTAAGTAGCTGCAGATGTTAGTGCAGTTCTGTATAAACACAGGAAGCATGTCAGTATTTGCCAAATGGAAATGGGATAAAGTTTATGTGGGAAATGTCAAGCTTGTAATAGAATATTACACGTAAGAGATTGAGGGGGGTGGGGTTGCTTCATTAAAGTCCTTCTTGCTAACTACCCCCTTCCCCCTTCTCATTCCACTGCACATTTAAACCTACTGAATGAAGCCATGCAGTATGTGCAAAGCTTCTTTGTATCATCTCCACCTCTCAGTTTGGTGTAGATTATGTTTCATACCGCACTAATTTTTAATATATTCTCTGCTATAAAGAGGCGGCACACAACAAGATGTCCCTTTAAGCCCTTTTTGCCCTGTCCCACCCTCCAGCTTCGCAACCAAAGCAGTGGTGATCTCGTGTACAGTACCTGCCCTGTCTCTGTTTTCTCACTGCACCACTTCCCCAGGTCAATCATGCACTTGTCCTGGAGAACTGGGTCCAGCTTCACATCCATGGCTCGCTGGTGGAGGATTCTCTGGACCTCTGCTCTGCACTCCCGTGATAGCTGCAAGAAGGACAGGGACTGTTTGAGCACAGGGGGTCTCTAAATCCACACAGTGCAAAGAAGATGCTGTCAGGTGAAGTTCTGAGAGTGACCACAAATGCCATCAGCAATCCCAGAAAGCCCAGGAGTCCTGCACTGCTCAGCACAAGTCTGCCAGGGCCCCCAAAAGCAATTTGGGCTCCAAAAGAGTTTGGAGCTCTGTCATTTAGTTTGGACACAGGCTCCTCTCATTCCACTAAAATTAATTTTATATTCTTAAACCTGTACTTTGATTTTTGAAATGAGATGTCAGAGCAGGTCCCTAGGCTGTCTGCTGCACCATCCCCCTTCACTCTAAGCTACAAACTGCTTCTGGAGAAGGAAGTCAAAATAGCTCATGCCCTCAATACCAAATGGGAAGCCCAGAATGAGGCAATACATCCCAGCTGTAATTTCTGCTCAGCAATTCCCACTGCAGCACATCAGAGTCAGCACTTGCAAGACAGGAAGAAACAAATTGCAGAAAACCAAGGGATACTGGTATGGTGCTTATCAGACCTAAAATGCACCAGTTGAAGCTTAAAACTTCAAAGGTTTAAAAATCCAAACCACTGAAGTTATGTAGCATTTTGTCAACAGCACTGGAAAGAAGTACAGGCCTAACCTCCCAAGAGTTTGCTTTCCAACACTAAATTTCAAAATGACAGCTGCTCCCTTAGCCTACTTTCCACCAGAAAAACACATTTAAAAACCTTTTCTCTCTCTGATAGATTATTTGCAGGGTGGCTATTGATTTCTTTGGTCAGCACTAATATAAAATGGAATTAAAAAGTCTCAACTCAGCAGACTAAGAAACTGCATTAAATAAAAATTATTCCTAAAAGAGAGATGCTTTCAATCAATACTTGACCTCTGCCACAAAAGACCTTTTAAATCAAGCTGTGGAAATTAATTTTTAAGGCAGGCCACTGTGTAAACCCACCAGCTGCTGGGTAAGGGCTGTGTACACCACAGTGCCAAAAGAAATGGAACTGAGTACCCAGTTGCTTTCAACTGAGTGCCCTGATAAAGGCACGAGAGGGCAGCAAACTTGAAAAGAGCAGCTCTGAACTACAGATGCCATGATGGTGGATCTCCAGACTGCAGGGCAGCAAGTCAGATCCCTACTGTCTTCTTTAAAGACAGCATGAGCACATTTACCAGGACAGCACGCTCCAAAGTACTGGAAGGATGTGTTATATCAATAGGAAGAATTTAATGGAGTATAATCTGAAGCTGTACACAAATCAAAACTTAATTAGAAACAGCCAAGGAAAGCTGAGCTTGAAACTCCTTTAGCATAAAACCAATTTTGCAGCTATGCTAGCTATCTGCAAGGAATCACATTCCTCTTTGGAAAGACATGGGGGAGGAATTGCAGTGCATTTGGACAGATATGTCAGTCGGTGTCAGTGCACAGTTCCCCCACTGGCCCAGGTCACATCCTGCTGGCCTATTCTGCCCTGCCAGAACAGCCACCCTCAGGGCACACTGGAGGAGGAGTTGGGCACCCAAAGCACTGCAAATACCCCCTACGGTAAATGCTTCTGAAGCAGCTTTTGTGAGTTCTGGCAGTTTTATCACAGTGTGTCCAAATTCAAACGCGTGTGCAACCCTTCCATCACAGATCAAAGGGCAGCAAGCTGCACACCAGCACTCACCCTCCTTCCTTGCTCCTCTGTGCGATAGGCATGCCTGTACAAGCAGGAGAAAACAGCCCCTGGAGGCATCAGCTCACTGGTCTCATTCCAGCCATGGGTGTGGCAGAGCCGGGAGGCATCTCCCTGACACTTGCGGTACAGGACTGTGTCCAACCTGCAAACACCAGGGTTATCACTGGCACCTCATTCAAATCTGCGACACTTCTGATATTCTGAAATGCTTCTGAGGCAGAAAATCCACTCCAAGTTTCAGGCACCACCACATCACTCAGCAGCAGTGTCTGACCAACTGAACCAACAGGTAGTAAAATGCCCATCACTCAGTTTGGAATCAACTCTGTATTCTTGCAATAATAACACTGAAATCTTTAATTACAGATTAAATCTTCAACGCTTCTTGAAGCACCTCCCATTCTGTTCTGCAGCATACCAGCCAAATGCTGACATGTGAGAAAAGAAATCATCTCCTCGATGTCCTAAAGCAGCAGAAAGGCAGGTACATTCCACATTTTGGTTGTATAATATCTTGCACGTACTTTGCACTGCTGCCATTCTGAAACACCACTTCCATAAAAATCTGAGTTGGATGAGTTCTGTCTGCCCTGGATTTGAGCCAACTGAAGACTCAGCATCCCTTGCTTTTGTATACAAGTGCAGATCTCTTAGGATGACAGTTAATTACATGAAAGCTAAGTGAGATATTGCTAACTTTCCACAACACCACAGAAGACAAACATCAAGTGATTTCAGTGGAGGGACACAGCAAATGCAACAGCTTTTATAAGCCAGTTCTGGGGAACAGTGGTTAAACAAAGATGAGCTAATGCTGCCCATATAAATTTGAGTTATCTTTACTCCCAGTAAAATGCAAACACTCAATCTTCCTTCTTTCAATCAATTAAGTTTAGCTCAAGCAATGAATTACCTGCTGGAAACATGGTACAGGCAGGAGAACTAACAATGAAGGGAAACAGGAAGGGGGAAAAAATTAAGTATTTTTGTGTACCTGTGGCAACAGTTATTGAGATGACTAAATAAACAGCCACAAAGCCCTAAATTGTCTGGTTCACAAAGCCCCAGGTATTTTAAAAGCAGAAGGTTCACAGAGCATGCCAGCTCTTAACTACTGGCAATGCTGCCCAAAAGACACGACTTGCTATGAGTCAAGATTTTCCTAATGTTTGGTTCACACACCCCTTGCAGTAATAGAAGCCCATCACTTCTTGCCTTACACTCTTTGTGGCCACTGAGAACCATTTCTCAATTTCTTGTAGTAATTCTATTTAATGTACTCTACTTCCTCACCTCTCAATCTTCTTTAGAAGACAAGCCAAACACTTAATTCTTTCCTCAGTGGTCGTGTTTATCAAATTTATATTCTCCTCATCTTAACCAGCACAGACACAAGGGGCTTTGTATTCATTTAAAACAAAGCACTGCCATCTCTGGATGAGAAAGCTGGAAAAGCAGTGCTCCAAAGGGTATTACATCTGTTATACTGTAATCACACCTAGAGAATTTGAAAAAAGGCAGAAATGGAAGCAGGAAGTTTCTCACACAGTGTCCCTTTGTTATACTGAAAAGTTTGGTTTCCATAAGTCCCATATTGTAGCACTCAGAGCAGATGCAAGTGGCTGCCACCTGCACAGAAAGTGACCTTAAACTTCAGTACAGCCAGACAGAACTCTTTAAAGCTGCACTGAATTTCAGAGCCCAGACTTGAGCACTTTTTAGGGTTGCATCATTTCTCAGAGAGGACCTGATTTAAGTGGCATCACACCTTTTCTAAGCAGCTTTTGCTCCTAGTGTTCTAGGCAGGCATTAGCACCCTACAGACCTGGCACGTTTAAAAATCCTCTTCTGAACCATCATAAGTGACACTGCTTTACCAGGAACTGCAAATGCAAACAAACACTAAATACAAACATCACATGGGCATAAATCTCATTTTACAGTACTCACTTCCAGTCACGAGATATAAAATACTGGAGCTCCAGGAGCCTGTGCTCACAGTCCTCCACCATCTTCTCAGTATACAAGTGCTCCATCAGGCAAGACAGAATCCTGCAAACAGAAAAGTTAGGCCAGAGACTGTCAGAATCATGCTGGGCTTTCTTATAACAGCTGGTGTTGGCAAATCAGTCTTTCCAATGAACCATAGATAAGATGTTCAAAAGCAGTGATCTTTCTTTTCCTTCCAAAAGATTACATCTAAACCAACTGCGTGCCAGATTTGTACCCTTTTAGATTCCATTGTTTTAGTTATCTCAGCAAGTCTGATATACAACAAAAATCTTAAGGAGTATTCTATAGAAAATCTGACTTGGGGGGGGAATATATTATCAGACTGGAGGCACCTGTCTCTGCACTATAGGTTTGCTTACCTGGACTTTCCAGGTTTGTCACTTTGTGATATTGCTAAAGACTTATGTAGTTAGGGAAATGAGCACATCAAATATTAGAAATATTACCAAATATATAAGTAAATACATATATGTATGTAAATAAACCTTTGTAAATATTTTCCCTTTCCCCCAATACCAAATAGTTGTGTTTTGTCTGAAAACTCTCCACATGAGGTGAGAAAGATATCGAGTCCATGCCATCACCAAACCCTCTCACAGGGGCAAATTGTGGGAGGGGGGCTTGAACTTAGTGTGGTGGTTTGAAACTCCCAAGAATCCAATTTCTAAGTGCCTGAGATAGCTACATCCTTCACCAGTGCTAAACCAGCCCTGTGACAAAAATACTGCCCTGCTTGTACAGCCAGAATGGAGACAGAGCTCAGTTCACACCTCCAGCCCTGTACAGATTGCCACTGTGGAGTCCCTCATTTCTGGACAGGTTTTAGTGTTCCTACTGCTCAGCCACACGACCTTCATGGATGCCCCAGAGAAAAGACAACTCAGTTCCAAGTGGGAGGCACCTACATGGGGTCCCCCGAGCGGATGTGCTTGCAGGCCGTCTGGATCACCGACTCGCAGGCCTCGTTGAGTGCGCGGTCGATGCGGTAATCGGCACCGGGGTCGGTCTCCTGGATCAGGGTCTGAAGCTGCAAGAAAGAAATTGGGGAGAGGAAGACAAATGTTAACAACCTAAATTACAACCTCTCAGCGTGGCAATTCTGTGCCAGCAGCAACGGTACCATGTGCGACCTCTGCCCTACAGGGTTTGATTTTAAGTGCTTGTGCTGCCAACTCAACTGCCAGACATGGGAGTTCAGCACTGTTGAACCCTAATTATCACTCTAAAGTAGCCCAGGAACATTGGGGGAGACCAGTCACTCATTGAAGGTCAGCTGTAAAGCTGGACCACTTATGTACTAATTTGTAGAACTGAACTGGTAAAATTTGCATACTGTACTTTTGATCCATCTTAATCTTTGGTGGCAACCTCATTCCATAAGGCTGATGACACTAGATTTGTCTAGGCAGATTTGTCATATTGTCATGAAGACTATTTCCAACTGAAACCCAAATCAATGCTTAAAGACCAGTTGTCTAACTACAAACAAAAGTTAAAAACAGTTTTTTAATTGCCTGGAGAGGACACAAAGGTTTTATTGAAATACAAGATAAAATGTCCTGTTCTGCTGTCCCAGAAGTACCATTTCCTCAGGGATGCCTGCTCAAGCTTTTGGAAGCCAAGGTCTACAGTACGTATTTTTTATTTATTTTATATATATATATATATATATATATCTCACCCCTCCCTTTATGACTTCAAAATACTTTTATTTATCATAGGTAAATACTGTATGAACAGCTCCATCAAGTCTTTTCTTCTTGTGAAAATGTTATTCTGACAAAAGCTCCAGAAAGAGAGTTTTCTCTTATTAATAAGGAAACATCATTTAGCTTGTTTAGCACTAAGTTTCAAAATCAGATCCAGAAATAGTCAATGGCATCTGAACATAAATTTGGGAGGTGTTTGCTGGGCCAGGGGAAGGGAATTTGTGTAAATCTCAATTAATCAGTAGTTTTGGGCACAGGGGTAGCTTCTGGACTATAACTCCGCCCAGGATCCCCATGTCCCACTTCATTTTCCATCAAGCTGTGAATTCCCAAAGACTGACTGACAGCAGACTGGTATCATCATTTGACAGGCAAACATTTTTAGCTGACAAATTTGGAGGGGAAAGGAGAAAAAGAGGCAGAGAGCTTGCTTAGAAGGCACCTGCACATCGACATCAAATGGTCTATGCTGTTAATATCTTGACACTTACTTAATGATTTTTGTCTCTGGCCCCCAGCCCAACTACATCAAAAGCACAGTCACAATTTTATTCTCCACCTTTCAAAGTCTGCACCTAAATGCCATCCAGGAAACTCTCAGGGGCAAAGCCCTAACATCAAAAAACACAGGGAGAAAAAGGCATCAGAGAACTGGAGAAAATACAAGCTAGCACTATTTATCCAATAGGAAACTTATAATCATCAGGACAGACCACAGATTGCCTGGGAGGAAACCAGGATTTCCTGCAACTCACTCTTGATTATGCCCAGCTTCAGCTTCTGAGGGATGCAGGCAGATCAGAAGAGCACTGCCTATCAAAAATTCTTGGGATATTTTCAGTAAAATAATAACAATAATAATAACAATAATAATAATAATAATATTTTATATGCCTCTGATAGTGGTCCAACAAAAGCCAATATGAGATCCAGTTCATAACAGGGATCAGCAGAAGTGAGAAGTGATGTGTTCTTCACAAATTTTGTAAGAGTCACTGCAAGGAGGAGAATATTGTGGTTCTGCTGGTGCACACACACACAGCCTGCATGGATGGGCAATACTCTGCATATAAAGTGCTGGCATCACTTCGTGTCAGATGTTTATCTCAAACATTTATTATCAAAAAGGTTCAAGTACGAATAGTGGAATTGGTGCCTCAAGGAAAATTAAGTGAATAGAACCACAAACCCAACACTTTATTACACACACAGATTAAATAAACTGGCCAGAGCATTATATAGGCAGGATTCTTCCTCAGATCTCAGTTTAATTGGTTTTCCTGTTGCTATAAAGTGGAAGAGGCCAAAACCCACTGGGTACAAAAGCTTGGAAGCAGCAAAGCACCTCCTTGTCCTTCCAGACCATTTTGGGCACTACTGCAGAATTCACTGTCTCAGTTCTCAAGCACATGCAAGATGTGCAGCACCAAGCCAGCTGCTGTGACAGCAGGGAAGAAGGAATAACTTGGCACAGTGATAAAAGTGAAGGTTGTATAGGATTTTCCTTCCTCCCAGAACAAACCCTTGCAGCTGAAAAAAAGGAGCTGGATAAACTTGACAGTTCTCTGAACTTTTATGTTCAGATATGGAGCTCAATTAACAATGAACTATCAGCTGTATTAGAAACTGGAAACAAAAAAAGAAATGCCCTTAAAGCAGGGATTATAGTTTTACACACTCAAGGGACTGAACAGAAAAAAACCCAACCACAGCAGAATCATATGTCAAAGGTGCTCTCTAGGTACCCAAAAGGAACTCTGAGAGGATGGATGTCTAACTTGCCTTCTTCAGGGCCTGTCATATGGGCCAACCTCACATGACAAGGAGCTGGAGTCTATTGCACAAGTCACACAGTATCTGGAAGGGTTTCAGACAGTAATAGTCTCTTCCTTGAAAAGCTAATTTGGAAGGTAAAAGCAGGAAGCTGATCCTAACACAATAAATCAAAACAGAACAAAGCCACTGACAGCTGAGACAACCCTTACCATTCAAATACGAAAAATAACAATAAATTATTTAGTACCTCAAAAGTTGTCAGCAGCTATATAATAGTACCATGCCAGTCTTCAGGAACTCAGATCATTGGAATGTTTATCACAGTCTTGCAATAATCTATTTCCTCTTGCCCAGAAGAATAAGGACAAGCTAATTGTATTTTATAAAATCAACACTTAATTTGCTCCTGCTGTGTTTTGCAGAGAACAGAACACATTTAACTTGAAGGGGAGTCATGGACAAGCCGTACTGTTGCATCAACTTACTGTACAAAAATAAAGCAGTAGCTCAAGTATAAGAGAACTGTAAAAACGCCAAACCTGCTATAGATTTCTACAGATATTTTTCTTTAAAAGTTTGAAATCACGGATCATTTTTGGGGGTCTCCTGTGTTGACTTATGACTTGCTCCGAACCCGCCCTTCATGACCTAGAAGTCATTCCCAAGATGAACTGATCTTATGACAGTTTGCAAATAATCAGGTTCTGAGGCAGCAGGTTCAATTTCATATTTAAAAAGAAACAAATATGCAGTTTTTCACACAAGGGCTGCAAAGCACAAGCCACACACTCCAGCCCCCCGCAGAAACGACTCAAAGTGCGCAGCTGCTGCTCCGACACACCTGGTATTTGTGCAGAAATGAGCTTCAGCACAAAACACCCCATGCCTTACAAAAACTGAACAGTTACTAATTTACCTGTGATAAAATACACAAACTGGCACCATTAGGGGCTCAGGCTTTAAGCTGTTGGTTCCATATATTGTAGAAGTCACGATCGTACATCTCCCCAAATTCCTACATCAGCACTAATACTCCCTCACCAGTTTTGTCATTGATGCCACTTTTCTGGGCTCGTAGACAAGTATTAAGTACAAAAATATAATATATTAAAAAGCACTAATGAGTTTGAACAAAAATTAAATTATTGTTTTCAATGTAAAAAAACCCAAACCACAAACAGGATGTATCTGGGCCAAAATGAAAAGGCAAAAGAATTATCCCAATATACAAAGGTATTTTGGAGAAAAATTGCACTTCCTTCAGTGGCTGCAACTCCACCAACATGCAGCAGTCTGTTGTACCTCTCTGTCCCTGAAGTTCCATTTCCATCATTTAAGTTGAATGAAATAAAAATAAAACCGAGTGGGGAGGTGCTTCGAGAAGGTTTTGTGCATTTCCAAGGACAGGGCATACGGGGAAAAGCAGAGAGGGAATATTTTAAAATTACAAAAAGCAAGTTTCCCTACATCTTGCACCCAGGAGAGAATTTCATGACTTGAAAGCTGTTGGAGAACAACTATGGGAGATCCAGGACAAAATCCAGAGCAGGACAATCCAAAATGTATTTTTCTGAGGGGGAAAAACCCCAGTATTACTAATGTGCTGCCAGATACCAAGTCACACTTCATACCATGACCACTTACACAACCTCCAGCAGTCACTGGCACCCAGCAGAACCTCCATCACCAGGCAAAACGTTAACAGACAAATCAGTGCTTCTAATAACAGAGCAAAGCACAGGTGAAGTGACAGAAGAGCATCTTACTGCCTGCTGACAGCTGAGCCCCACGTTGCCCTTCTCCCCCCGCACCACCTTCATGAGGCAGTGCAGGGTGCGGCCCTTGCGGTGCAGCCCCGAGCAGTGGTGCTCGATCTCCCCCCGGCAGCTCAGGATGATCTCGGGGCTCAGTGAGAAGTCCTCCATCAGCATGCGCCGGTAATCCAGCATCTCACCCTGGCACTCGCTGCTCACTTGTCGACCTGAGCCAAGAGAACAAGACGTGATTTAGTTTCGGTGCTTAGCAGAGCCCTTCTTGACCTGAGGTGCCGTTGTGTTGGAAGAGAAGGGACAATGTCCGTGCTCTGAACAACACCTGACTGCAACAAGTGTGCTGGAGAGGACGTGCTGGGCATTAAACCAGCGTTGCAGTAGCTCCTGCCATTTAAATGAACCTGTAAAATACAGCCAGTCCAGGGATTCAACATGCTTTCAAAAAAAAAAAAAAGGATTCCTGAAAGATTCTCTTAATCTTATTTTGGATTTCACATTATAGGAGTTGCTTCTGAAGAACATCCGAGAGCGCCCAGTGGGTCTGCAGTTCTGTAGCATGAGCCAGCTTTACCCCATATGCTCAAGGGCTCATTTTTCCACTGTGTAAGTCTCCTCTGGCAGTTCACCAGTTTGATATGTAACTGGGGGAGGAATTTGTCAGGACAGCAGGTTAAACGTTTTCTCTGAGGAAAAGGTTTTCTAGAGCAATAGCACATAAATGCTCAGCCAAAAACCAGACTAGAACAAGAGCCTGCATGGAGTGTCTAATAAACCACTGCAGCTGCACAGAAATCTAGCTGTAGTAAATACTTAGATCTGGTATAAGCTTTCCTGCAGTCCCCATGTAGACAGTTGGGGTTTTTTTTTAATCAAAGGACCATGTTGGCTTTTTTGTTACATCCTCCCCCCAGTCCTCATCACAACCTATTCATATGTGCACAACACCCCATGGAACAGGAGACACCCCAACAGGGGCTCCCAGGCATTGTAACACAGACACGTGGAGCTGTGTGGAATAATTACTGTTCCTCCTGGGCTATGCTTTGTGTCAGACACTGCAGAACCTGCTCCACCGTGAAAGTGGAAGTTAATAACTGAACAGCAGTCTCCTGCATGTAATTCAGGAAAGCACCTGCTCTACCTGCAGGGAGAAGGAAAAAAGATCCCACAACTCTTCTACAAACAGGACACATCATTTCCACATCAATCAGAAGCAATGAGTTGTTAAAACGCACAAATGCAGGGATTGCTCATGGAGCCTTTCCCTCCCATGCCAGAGGCACTGCAGCATGGAGCCCTGCTGCAAAGCCACCCAGCTGCATGCCAAGGGGAAAAACAAGCAGTTCTCCAATGCAGATCTAGAGGATGTAACACATCGTTTCCCATGTTATGGCAACTTCACAGAGAACCTTTAGCATGGTCCTGGCTGCATTCAGCCCTCTAATGCCTTTGGGACAGCAGCTGGTGTTAGGGCACATCCAGCTTACGCTAATTTAAATGAACAAAAATAATATTCTCACACTTGTCTTCTTTTATTTAGGAAAAAACTAGAGTTAGAGAAATTAAGGCATTTACCCAAGCTCCTGAACTGCAAGGAAAGACATCATTTCTAGGAGGCAGAGGACTGAGTATCCCTGGCTTTCCCTGAGCGAGGATAAACAGGTTCTCTATTCTATGTTTTAACCTTGTAGCATATTTAATGCTTACTACACAAAGGAGGAAAAGAGCTGCTTGAATTCACAGTGAATAGAAGGATTTGCAACTACACATCAGCAGTCCAAGTGGGATTTGGTATTTTGCATTTTAAACTTCTTGTCTACACAATAGGAGACAGCAGCAGAGGTTTACTCAGCCATTCTCCTTGTCAAAACAACAGCAGTGAAAGCACCACGATGTGGAAACTTGCCTCTGAACCAGAGTCTGGAAAAAGGCACTTGGAGAAGGGGACTGTCAATACATGTTGAAGGTGAAGAAACTTTTATAATCACTGTCCCAGCAAGTCTTTAATTGCACTTACCCCTGTGCACTGCAGACTCCAAGCACATCAAGAGGTAGGAGAGCCGGGCTTCCCGGGAGCGGGGAAGGTTCTCCACGTTACACCGGTACTTCTTCAGGTCACTCTTACAGGACTTGGCCAGCGAGTAACTGACTTTGTAGTCTTGGGCAATCAGCTTCTGGCGGGTGGTCAGTGCATCACGACACTGCAGGGGACACAGGGGGGTGATGGAATGAGCTCCTGTGTGATGGAACGAGCTCCTGTGTGCTGGTGGCAGAGAGCTGGACCTGCTGCTTTTAAGTTTTCCAAGTTGCATTTCAAAAAAACAACTCATGCTTTAAAATTCATGCATTTAAGCCGGACTGCAGTTAAATTTCATTTGTCTCATAGAAACCACACAGTTAACAATGCACGCTAAGGTCGACAGATCAAGGGTTTCAAAGGCAGCAGCTCTCTGCAGAGCACTTCTCAAAACTGCACATTCATCCAGCTCTTTGTGAAGAGCTGTGGCTGAGAGCGTGACTCACTCTCGGTAACTAGGATCAGTTGCTGACATTTATCCCAGCTGTGGTACATGTTCACCCCATGCCCTCAAGAAATAACTTTTTCCAGTCACATTTACAAAATAGTGTGTTCCTTGGATTTGTTCTGCAATGCACTGAGCAGATGACAGCAGATAACACAGTCTAACCGTGGGAATTTCCAGCCATTTTCCACAACTGGTGAGGTTCACGAGGATGCACTGTGGCCAAACCCAAACCCAGCAGCTGCAACACCAACCCTCTAAATTTCATCCAAAAAAGGGCCTGTAAAAACACCACTACACTTCACAGCTTTTGGTTTAAATTATATGAAAATTAAATCTGAGGGTGGCAGGAAATTCAGAATAGCTCAAGCCAATTTGTCCATTCTCAGCCTATTTGAAAGGAAGGGAAATAGTGCATATGTAGGGTAGGGAGAACAGGCAGCAATCTTGGTACAAGGAACAGAGGAGCCCTAGAGCCCTCTCCCCACTTCCTTACACCAGGTTTTTGACTTTTCTCCCCCTCCTTCCTACACTTACTTTAGGACCTGGAAAGTCCTGCTCTGAGATATTCCCTCTCCCTCTTTCATGGTCCTGTGCCATGACTGGGATCTTGGGACTGGTCAAACTTACAGCTGTGGACACAGGGAGACACAGGCTCACAGATACCTCATCCCCTGAGGGAGGGAAAGGCTGGTTCAGCCAGGGAGCCAGTTCTGGATTCCACAGAGCCACCCACCAGGCAGCTATTGCTGGCTACGTGTGCATGCAGCAGCTGACACCACAGGCAAGGAGGGACTCTTTCCTGGGTAACAGCTTCTATAAAACTAGAGAGTTTGCAGATGGTCCAACTTTGGCAGCTACAAGAGGGAGAACTACATTTAGTGCTCCTCCTGCTCTGCAAACTGCGCCCTCAGAGCATCCACCCCTCTCTCCCTACCAAGTCATCTGCCACAGCTTTGTCTAACCCTCTCTACACCTTACATTCATACCTTAGACAGCCCATCATGGAAAACACCCCTCAAAAACTACCACTGTCCCTGTATATCTGAAAACAGGTTAAGCAAAAGCACCAGTTCATTGCAGTAAAATGCTTCTACAAAACTGAGCTTTGTTTCAAGCCCTCAGTGATCACTCTTTCAGATCTGACTCTGTTAATTGGAACCAAGCTGTCAGATAGCTAATGTATTTATTTAAAGAAAAGGAAATTAGCCTGATCCCTCTAGGACTCTGAATTGGGCTCCTTCAGTGGATCTTCTTTGGGAAGATCTTTACAGACATCCATCTTCGTATTGTTTCAGACAGACTATATAATTCCATACAACCCAAAACACTATGATGCTGCTTCCAAAAATCACTGAAGACATTGCTGCCTTCCCAAAACACCTGTTCAAATATAACCTTTTTTCTGGACTGGCTGTCCAGAAAAACATTTTTTTTTGCTGTTGCTGCAAAACACATCTTCAGGAAAATCATAAGGAAAACTTCAGGAACCATGATGAGCATCTTTCCCAGAGAATGTGCTACTTGAAAACAGCGAAACAGTGAAACAAATGCAGCTTCCTGTGCTGAGGTTCTCAGACATTTTATTTCTAATCTGTACATTAGGACAGCATTTATCCAAGGCTTACCCCAGCATGATGCGACTGCTACTTTAAACACTCAATCACAGCGCTACCACTTGAGCTCTGTGTCTGCCTTCCCAAATTACCCACCAAAAGCTTTGATTTATTTAAATCCTTAACTTTAAAGGCTGAAACTTGACACACAAAAAATATCAAAGTAAAAGAATTTGTTAAAGCAGCCGATTATCCGACCACGTAGATGATGGATTTTCCTCAACACTGGAAAAGAATAATGCAGTCTGGACTGAGGAATGATCTGATGGTTTCTTCAGTAAGGATTTGTCTCAGTAGGATACCTACCTTTTCACTCATTGATTCTTCAAACTTGTGATTAAAGAGGCACTTGTAGACTCGGCCTTCCCCAGCCTGAGTCTGTGAAACAGAACAGTAACATTTACAGTTAATATTAGGATTTGCAATGCTTAATGAGAGGGCTGAACTACGCCTAAGGGCTTCTTTTTTTTAAACTACTAACATGTTAGAGTTAATATTTCAAATGACAGCAATCCTTCTATGCAATGAAATCTTTAAAATTTTATTGCATTTAAAAAAAACCTAGTCTTGCTCATCATCCTTTGAGTGTGAAGACTCTCAGCTGACACAGGCTACTTCAGACTGAACAATGCAGCTTTCCAGCTCATCGCTCCAAGGATAAGGAGTGCTACAAGTAACGGCAGACCAGGCTTACCTTGTGCAACAAACAGCTCACAGCTGGAGAAAGGAGAGGTCACCCACCTCCACTGCCTCCTCCCCACTCCCTGTCACACCAGCTCTGATGCCCATTAAACCATTTATGACAATTCAGTTCATTAACGCGCTGGAAATAACACTTGTTTGTTGGGTGAGTGCATTTAATAGTGGATTTATTGCAGAATGACAGCTACAAGGTGTCTATTTGCAGTATTCTGCAAGCTCCAGTCTACCATTTCATTCTTTCTTCCAGCAGAGGTTTGTGTTTTTTAATGGATTACTGCAGAGACAAGGCAGGAGGAAAGCACTCACGTTTTCACAGAATCGCTCCCTGTCGTCTCGGCACGCGAAGTACAGATGCCGGTCCAGGTGGAAGTCGTCTGAAGAGAGCTCAGCTACACGAAGAATTGCTTTCTTACACTGATCAGAAACCTGAATTCGAGGATCAGTTTCCTCTGCCTCCTTTACCAGGCCTTTTTCCAGGCATGCCACCACCTCTCCTTGTGAGTGAGCATCCTATGGGAGAAGAACGAGACGACATCTGTAACCAAGCATTTATGTAATCCAGTGATCTGTGATTCTGGCTAAGTACCATATTAATTAAGCAACACTGTCTACTTATAGACTTCCAAAAGTTCAGCCTAAACCACATTTACATTCAGAGGAAGCAACAGTTAATATCTGTACTAACCACACTTTATACACCACCATCCTGCTGATGGTCACCATGAAATCCCCCCTCCAATGCTATGGGCTTGTTTTAATGTGACTTAATGAGATTATCACTACTTAGTCACACTGCTCAGAGCAGTTTACCAAAACAGCCAAATTATCTTTAATCTGACACAGCTCTCTTGGCACCATGGCAACAGCAAGCAACAGCATCACATTAAGAACATACTTGGGAGAGAAAAATCATAGTTCTGCCATGCTGAGACAAGCTTTCAGCTTGGGTGGTGAAAATTCGTGATGCTAAAAAGGCCACAAAGGAGCTTTGACCAATGTAGGCTTCTCAATGCTAATTCCTCCATTAAGGGAATAAAAAACTGCAAAGCATTCAAGGGTAAATGAAGCCTTGGACAAAGCAGTTCTGGCCCAATGCTGTGCATCACATCCACTGTCCTGCAGGCCTGGACACAGCTCTGGACTATGAACAGCGACTGTCAATAAACACAGAGAGCCTGTGCTTTGTTGGTAAGCCTGGAAGAAGCTCAGCAAAGCTCCATTTAGTTTCCTACATCCTTTTTACGTGTTCAGAAAGAGAACGATACCCCCTCTATACCTCTGGAGAAGGCCTGGTTCCCCCAATAAACATGAATTCTTCTGGTACAGATTTCTCAAGGCTTCTGCAGGTTTTTCCTGTGAAGGCCACCTTAATTTATGCTGCTCTGCTTACACTACCTGGAGTGTGCAGCAAGGCATGCATATTCACATTCAGCTGAATCACCCAGCCTGGCATTTGCAGTGCCCGTTTCACAGCCATCCCTTCAGCTCTGTCAAGCAGATCCCTCCACTGCTGGTGCAGAGCATGAGTAAGAGAGCAGTCTCCATAAAACACCACCATGACTACTCAAAGCCACACAGCTCTTCCAAATCTTTCTGTTCTGACGTGTCTCCTCAGCAGGCAGCCTTTGATTCGTGTCCTAACTCTGCTGTGCTTGGAGCACAAGCAGAATTGGCCAATTACAAAGTTGTAAACACAACCCAGAAATAAAATCAGTTTAAAAGCACTAACAGCAGTTTTTTCCTTAAAAAAAAAAAAAGGCAAAGAACAAAAAACCCACACACCCCAGACTTCCTTATTTTGGTTTGCTCTTTTCTCTGAGTGGGAACTGGCCAACTCCCTATGCTGGTCAGGTCAGGCATCAGTACCTTTGAAGAAATATAATTATATATCAAAAGACCCCCTAGGACTGAACCCAAAATCTGGGTTCTGAGGAATACCAGTTAGCAGTACCTTTGCCACATAACTTAAAATTGTCATTTATCCACAAACACAAACACTTTTCTGCAAATTCTTATGGTCAGTCACAGATAATAATTAAAACTGAAAAACTGGCAAGTGTAAATTATTGAACACAACTATTTTAATCTCCTATGGCAGATTTTTGCTCCTGCCCAAGCGAGGTTGCAACTGGGAGGCAAGGCAGACCAAGGTTACACTCACTCACCTGCAGCTTTCCCCTGCAAGCCAGCAAGGAGGGCAAAGGAAACTTTTTCCTGCTAGGAAAATCAGAAATTTCCTGGTTTCTTGCAGTGTGGGTCTAGATTCCTGGTCAGAGTCATACGATGGTATGTAAGTACTAAACTATTTTTAATAGTCCAGTGAAAATGGGTTTCCATATGCTGAATGCTGAACGTTTGCTGGTGCATTTCAGGGACACAACATGAAATGATTCATTTATTGCATTGCTCTGTTAATGCAGCTTTTACATTTGGGTAGATCACCCTGCAGGGCTGGCTACTCTGCTGCCCTGTATTAGAGCAATTTTAAAACATGTCAGACTCAACAGAAGTAGAAACACACAAAAATGAACCCAGCTGGGTCCTGAAAGATGCAGTCCTGCCCTTTCCTCCTAGCATCAAGCATTTACATGCCTTCTTGTGGTGCCATTAGTGTTCCTGTGCCCACATGACACTGCTTGGAAGATCTCCTGACCTCATGTGGGGTTGGGTTGGGTTCATTGTCAGGCAGATCAGGTCCCTGGCTCAACTAGTGCTGACTAGTTAAGCCATTGTAAGGAGGGCCTAACTCTTCATTTCCTCAGAAGTGCATGAAGGCATCCACACTACTGCCAAACAGAGCATGGGACTCTACAAACATGTTTAGAGAAATTTCACCTCATGCTTTAATTACAGGGTAACACTTACTGTATTTAATACTGCACAATCTCTTACTGCAGACTGGAAGGGAAGAACAAAGGTGTGTACAGCTGCACTCAGCCATCCTGTTCTAAAGCAGCTGGCAGCCAAGGCTGCTCCCAAAGGATGGCAGGAAGCTGTGACACACAGGGGTGGCACCTGCATCACTGCCCAGCTTGCACCACACACAGCTGCCCCTTCCACCTGCACTCCACGTGCCAACAGTCCTGCACAGCCAGCTCAGCTTCAGAGGCACCAGAGCCAAGGGTTGTCATCCCACAGCACGAGCTCTCCCAGTCCTGCTCCAGCACCAGCTGCCTGGTGCACACTGTTCATTTTCCATGAGAAATTCCACTTTGCCCCCAGCACAGTTTAGACTTTGTGACTGTTGTTTATTTTTTTGTCATTTTTCAAAAGCTCCCCTGGAAAAGAGTTTATCCTGTCTGAAACCTGCCATGCCTTGAGTACAAGACTGTTCCAGCTGCAGACTTGCAGAGAGAAGCTAGAAAAGTGACCAGGAGAGAATAAAGAGTAGAAAGAAGCAGCAGGTGGGAGGGTAAAACACAACCTGTCTCATGAGCACAGCACCCTGCACTGGATGGTTGTGCTGACTCGCTGGAGCCAGAGCAGCCAGGCCATGGAAAACCATCCAGCAGGAGTTTCAATACAGCATTTTCCTTGGTTAACCTGGACACCAGGGGTGCTGGGATGGCTCTTAGATTAGCTAATTCCTAGTAGTCCAGGTGATAGTACACTGCATAATACTACACATACACTGCTACACTACTACACTGAGTAAACAAAGACTGAGCTGAACGTTATCAGCTCTTCCCCTGTAAACTCAATTCCCCCCGTGCCCAGTACTTCTGTGAAACTAAGGAAAGAGAGCAACTGTACTCAAAGCACTTAGGGATCACAAAAAAAAAAAACAATAAGAAAACAATGGTCTCCTAAGGTGTCTTTCTTTAGGAAAAACTATTATCTTTTAAAGCACTACAACACGTGCAATGGACACTTCTGTAGCTTTCATTATGGCAAAGAATCAACTACAGCTTGGACACCAGGGCTAAACAGCACCCTGGCAACCACACACTACCCACTAGTTTAATACAACCCCACATATTACCAGGATTGGGAAAGCAGCTCATTCCAACAAGCAGCCAAAGAAGAAAAGTTCCAATGTGATTACCAATTTCAATTTCAAATTAGGTCCCTACTGCATGAAGACAAAGCAACTTTTAAATACCAGGAGACCAAATTTGCTATAAAGCACAACTGCCAAGTGGAAAGGTGACTGAAACTACTATTAAATGTTTCTCCACTAACTGGAAGAAAATAAAAACAACACCCCCCCTGAAAGCCTCCCCAACACAGGTTAGAAAACTCAGGGCTTTCAAATGACACATCTAATGACACATTCACGGCCTTTCTGCTACGTAAGGCAAAATGAAGTCTATGGTCAGATCAAGACCTCCAAGCTGAACTTTAAAGCTCTTATAGTGCAGAAACCCAACTAGAAATGTGGAAAAGAAAGCACAGAAAGCACCACATCAGAAGCAACAAACCCAGCAGGAACAGAATTCAATTAGAAAGTAGAAATCAAGCTGAATGAAAAAAGGGAAGTGTAGAAAAGGAACATGGTTGGCTAGCAGAAGGGCTTCAAGAGGCAATGCAATTCCAGAATGCCAACTTAAGTGCCTTTCACAGTTAAAAATACCAGTTTATCCCAGTTATTCTGATGAAGCTATCATACTGCAATCTACTGGCTGCCTGATGTGGATGGAGTTCATGGTCCAGCTGTGCTTATTTCCATAAAAAAAGAGAGAGATGAATCTCTTCCCTCATCTTCTTCCTCAGGTGTCCAGGTGTTATTTATTAAATTCACAGTTACCTTCAGTCACACAAAAGGGTAATGACTGTTTCTCTACAGGTAACTCTCAGAAGCTAAAGAATGGAAATAAAACCAGAACTAGCATCTGATGGGAGCAAATTAGATTTCTCCAAAGCAGCAAAGGGATAGAACAGAACACCAACAAAAGAAATGCTTGCATAGCCATTTATAGCTGTTTCCATAGCAGTATAGAATACTTCAGTTGCTCTCAGTGCCAAAGATGACAGCACAACAAAAGATACCCGACAGGCTGCGATGCTTTCACAAACCAAGGCACAGTATTGTGGGTTGGGCACCGAGAAAGCCAGAAACGTGCATAAATCCCCATAAAAGTTTGGTTAGTGATCCCTTTGCTAACCCACAGAAACTTGGGGACCCTAAGCTTGCATTCATTTCCCTCTCCCTGGTGGCCTCACCCACCCCAGCCATCCTCCCCCTTCACCCACCTGAACCCAGAAGACCAACACAGAGGGTTGTGCCCTGTCACACACACCAGCCTGCCCACATCGGGTCACCTCTACCATGGGACATTTGGCTTGTGCTCACAAAATCCCCTCTGCTGTGTCCCTTCCGTACTACTGTAAGTTATTTTAGGTTATTTCAGTTTGGTGAAGCCACAGGTAATATGCAGACCTGACACCCAGGATTCCTGTATTACACTGCTGATTCCATACTGATTGTTAAAAGCAATTTCTCATTTCATGAGGTCCTTCAGCCCAGCTTTAGAAGAGAGCCTTTACTTAAAGGAGAAAGCAAGTTACTCAGCTGTTACCAGTGTGAATCTGTCGTGCCTCCGAGTTCCTCCTGCTTCTGTGGTTGCTTTTGTTCTTGTTTCCAGAAATAAGTCCTTACTTTTGTGCTTTCTGTGGTTCACCTAAATCTTCTGGAATACACCAGCACTTCAATTTAACACACTCTGGGTGTGAAGCTGCTTACAGCAGTGAATATCTCAAACAACTAGGAAAGCTTTTTTTTTTAAAACCAAAAAACCGTATATCTTTTGTTATATACCCCCTCATTAATAGCTCATCTAACAGACTAATTGTTATAAGCGTAAGAGCTATAATTTCAAAAGCACTGTAAAAAGCTGATAGGGTAATTTTAACTTTATCCCTCAACATAAAATCTTATCATAGAAAAAGTCACTCATTCCTGCAGCACTACATAATTGCTGCCTGCATTAGCTATGCTGAAGCAGACAGGGAAAGACAGGCCCTTGAAAATAACCCCACATCTAGTCACCACAAACTGTTCTTTGCATCAACCTCTGCTACTGGCTCACATGGCAAAAGAGCAGTGATTTAGTAAAACCAGGACAGTATTGGTAAGTCTGTACTACCAAAATGTGACACTGGGTACCCTGTGCCCTTCAAGTGGTTTTGGGTGGGCAGGGGAAAGGAGAAGCAAACAGATAAAAGCTCTTGATCCAGTCTATCAACCACAGCTGGAGAAAACAGGGTTATAACACAGGTCTCATCACCTCGATAACCCTCCTGCCAGACCTGACCAGACTGTGAAATAAGCCAAGCAATAGGCCTGCTTAAATCTATTGTTTGGATTCATTGTACTGAGCCAAGCCTGAGAGTGTCATCAGAAAGACAAGTACCTGCCAGATCACCTGTAGCATGGTGTGGAAAGACAAATGAAAGTCTCTGAATAGCAGTTCCTCACAGAGGAACGAATGCATATTTATTACAAAGGAACTGTAAAGAATCAGGACATCACCCTTTTCAGACAGATGAGATGCTCCTCGCATTTTCTCAGTGGCAGGTAAGACAGTAACACTGCTGCAGAGCCTCCCCATCAGTAACCTCAAGTGAACGACTTTTACAAGCCTATTGACAATCTGCATGTTCTCTGGGTACCTTTTCTCCAGGTCGAATGCTGCCACATTTCAGGAGATTGATGTCAGCCTTGCAGTCATCCATGAAGCCGCAGATCAGCCGATAATCGCTGAAGATAATGGCTGTCATCTTGGTGATGTACTGATGGCACTGGTATTCAGTGATGTTGCCTCTGTGATCCACCAAACATGACACCAAGAAGCCTTTACCAACTGGTTCATCTGCACACTCCTTTATCTGTTAAAAAAAAAAAAAAGAAGGAATAAAATTACAGTGGCTGCAGCTACCGAATTTAACCTTATTAAAAAAATCCTCAAAGAAACTTGCATCTGTAGCTTCAAAATCTGCTAGCAAAGAAACCCTCTGGGTTTCAGTTTGATTTTCAGTAAGTCAGAATACTTGAAAATATTTCAGAAAATAGAAATCTCATGTGTGCTAGCATCTGTAAAAAAGCAAACACAGCGACCTTGAGGATTATAAACTCTATTGCTCAATAATCATCTTCCATAATTACATTGAAACCCTGCAATCAAGAAGGCTTGTAGAAAAAGTGCTAGTTTGACAAACCTTTATTTAGAAAACCGAGCATATTACAACATCACTAAATCATACTTGGACCCCTATTAGCCACCTGACCTCGTACAATACAAGACTCTGGCTAGAGGTGAGACTGATTCAAAAGTCAACACTATTTACTGAATGGTTTATAACTTGCTGAGAGCCAAAAATTACTATAAAGGAAAATCCTCATCAAATTTATTTCTATCAGGTTCTTGTAGGAACTGATTGTAGGTACCAAACCATTTTACTCAGTGGTCTAAAAAAAGTAAAAATCACAGCTAACCAAAGCTGAAAGCTGTGCAGGGATTGGAAAAGCAGCATACAAGAAGAGACAGGTCCCCAATATAAATCACAGCCTGCACTGCTCAGGGAAGCAGACAGGAAGGCCAAAAACGTCACCTTTGGAAGCAAAAGCTGCAGGCGGTTTTGACAGTGTCTTTCCAAAGGAAGGGGAAAACATGGTTACCTATCAGTTAAGGATGGTCCCTGGAGGAATCCTGCCACAGGAGCAGTGCAATGCCTCGCTCCAAGGAGCACTGAGACCACACAACTCTTTAACCCTGGCAAGCCCGTGCCCAGTTCTGGTGGTCCTCGGTGAGGATTGTGCCGAAAACCCGCAGCCGTAACGCTGCAGAGAGAACTCCTGGCAGCCAGACACTAAAGTTCAGTGGTGACAGGTTTGCAAGGAAAAGATACATGGCCTGACTCGATTACATCAAAGATTTGTTCCTGTAAAAATCCTGAAGGGCTCATCAATCTCGAGGAAGATCTATGGCAATCAATAATCCAGGCGGGCTCAGGTAACAAGCGAGAGCAGGGCCAAGGGAACAGGCAGGGAACCATTTTATTGGTTCCCAAATACCAAGCTGGAATATTTATATTGGAAATTTTAAAAAATGGAGAGCTGTCTCTAGGAAGATATATTCTAATTCAAGCAAGAATAACTTAGGGCACCCTGTGACAGACTCACACAGGTCAGACTGGATGAATAAAACAGATCTCTGCCTCAGCTTATGAGGCCATTACTTTCTGTGTAACAAATAAAACATACAGCATTTTAAACATCATTACTTGAAGGCAGATGGAGGCTGGTAAAACATTTTATATTTAATCTAAATAGCTATTAGAAAAACACAGTTACTGAGGTCAATGTAATTGTTATAGATAAGGCATAAAATACATTCTGAAGTGAAAACACATATGATTCATTGCAGGGTGAAGGGGAGAGAGCTGAGCAAGTGCTTTCTGAGAAAGCTGCATCTTTGGTTTGGCCCTATTTCAGCTCAAGTACCGTGAGCCAAACCAGCACACAATGGCAACGTGCTGTTTTTGGAAGAGCCTGGCTTTGGAAACAGCCCCAGAGCTCCGTGGCCTGAGCCAGTGAACTGCAGAAAAGACCAAGCCATCATGTTATTGCCAGGCCACTTCTGAAGCAACCACTGTTATCTGGGAGCCAACTTTCATTCCAGGTTAAAGCTCTTGCCAGAACTTATAAAAAACACTCCAGCTGAGGGGGGGGGAAGAGAGAGTTGAAATTTCAATCTGTATTTAGCTGATAAAATTAAAAGGTGCACTTTTCAGAACATACCCAGTTGGGGCAGTCACCATTTCCCAAATGACTAGAAATTGCTCTTCCAGCTGTATTCTGTTCTTAATGCAAAGCAATACTTAAAATCAGAGCTCAGTCACCCAGCAAAAAACCACCTACCTGTTAGTGGGGATTAAAGGAAAATATTAGTAGGTTAATACTATATGTGAGCAGTATATGCCCACTATGTTTAAAGAGCGTTGTAGAAATAGCTTTAAAAAATATTAGTGGAATGGTTTATGCACCTTCCCCAGTATTAAACACCAGATCAAACACATACAGTTATTTTTCTTATCTAACTTTTTTCTTTAACTAAAAATTACTCATGAAATGGCAGAATATTGGTAGTTTATGTCATGAGTCACCACAATTACAAGAAGAACACTTGTGGTTAATGTACAGCTAAAATTCTGTACATTCTTCCCACTGCTTTTAGACATATCCCAGATTTAGAGGGCATCGTTTACAGCAATGCCAGACTGTCCCTGCACAGAAATGGTAATTAAACAGACTGTTAAAAGAGCATTTTCAAGAATGCCTTGGTTGTAAAAATTCTGCAGCAGCCATATGACATAAACCAGAAAAACACAATCTTTTCTATGATAGCGAAAAAGTGGGATCCAACAGATTTGGCAGTGTTTGCTTTTGGGAACTACCAAACTCCAAACACAGCACAGCCCTTTGATGCAAGCTGATTCCTTCCACTGTTTCATCTTCTAACCTTCTTGTAATAACTATTTTCTTGATCTCTCCTTACACTAAACGAGTTACACTAGAGAAGACTGAATTTTTTTTAAAATGCAAGTTTATGGCTACATTAAATTATATTAGTGGATATACAAATAATGTTTTTCAGAGCGTGGCTTAATGACTGAATTAAGTCAGCTGAAGCCTGTCCTGCTGCAGAGAGCTTTGCTTCCACTGCTTCCTGTCTAGCTGAAAAGCACCACAAACAGAGGGAAGAGAGCTCAGCTCAGGCAGTGCCTGTGTGGCTGAGTGCACAGCCTCCAGAGCTCCAGCATGAGCACAAGGAAGAAATGATTGATCAAGTCATCTTTGAAGCTGGACCAAGGAATGTTGATGCTTGAGGTACAGAGCATCACCTCCTAGTGCAACCTAAAAAGAAGTTGTTCCTAACAGAGTCTCCTTGGAGTAACTACACTTTGAACCTTGAAGTAAAAGAAGTTGATTCATCATTTGCTGCCTCTGTAGTTCTCCTTTCTGCCAGCATGACACAGTCCAAAATCAGCCTTAGGCTAAATTCACAGAACCCCTGCTACACCAACACTGTTACAATTGTCAAACACTTGACAAAGAGGGGACAAATCCAATCCACAACAGATTTCTGACAGAAGTTCTGCTAGGAGCTGATGGGTTGTTAGTTCAGCATTTCTTTCTGCCACCCCTTTGCCTGGTACCACTAAGGCTTCTTCAGCAAGGAGACTGAATTCATTACAGGTAGCAATCTTGCATATGAGACTAGAGCTTCCCCAACCCCAAATCATTATTCACACCCTAATTCATTATCACAAAGAACTGAAGAAGCCTCAGTGTCCCACAGCAGCCGTGCCTTTCCCTGGTCTTACCTCAGCAATAGTGGACTTGCAGACTTCTCTGGCCACGGATTCAAACTTGGGATCTGTTGTCAGGTTCAGCTTGTAGTTCCACAAGAGCTACAAAGACAGCATTTGCAGAAAGGGGGTTTAAGAGCTTCCCATTGGGAATGACAAACATTTTACTTTGGAAAACAATGAAACATCATTTATACCCAATCTGTATCATCATCCTTTTACAGTGCAATGATCAATGTAAAGTCTCCTTGACAACAACTTGGTCCCTTCGTTCCTGCAGTAATTTTCTCGTACTGAATAAATTCAGGCTGTCAGAAATCTCTCTAAGGTCACGAGCTGACTCATTAAAAGGATATATATTGCATGAAGACTACTTAATAACTGAAAGGATAAAACAATGAAAGCTGTAACTTGCTACCTGCTGCATATTTAGCAATGTCTTTAGCCCACCACACCTTTCTGTGTCTGATGCAAATGATCTAAAAAAATGAAGTCCTCAATCTGAGCAAATTTCATACTGAACACCTGATTTGAAAATCGAGCAAAAAAGGCAGGAGACAACACAGCTTGAGGCTTCTGTGAGGGGCTGCAACCAGACAACTTTTTGGATGCAGATATATGTCAAACCTACAGAAGGTTCTCTCTCTTGCTAAGCACAACCCATCAGAGCTCAGAGTGCAGAACACCTCGGGTAAGGATGACTGTTCTTCCAGGAGCCAGCAACGAGCTCCTGAAGGAGCCTCAATGCATTGGGCCACTGTGCAAGAAGCAATCTTAGGCAAGCCACACCCTGTGGGTTATATACATCCCAGATATCCTCCTGAGGCACCAGAAAGTGAAAATACGGGGTAAGATGACAAAACCTCAGCAAATTAATAGCCGAGATGTCACCTGAGAGCTCTGTTATCTTACCTGCTTTTCCAGCAACTTAAGTTGCATTTAAAAATTTTTTAACAACTTGAAGAATAAATAGCTTTAAAAATTCACTTCAAAGACTGTGCCTTTATGACAAAAATCAAACTAATATCAAGAAGATAAAAGTTTGACCAAACTTCTATTTTCAATTATTCACAAAACACTGGGAAAACACAAGGAAAGCAGTTTCACATCAGCTCCAGGAGGATGGAAGTACAGAGAGAGAACCAAAATCAGAATAAACAGAACTGCACCACCTTCCATACTTCTTATCATGGTTTTATAGCTGTGAAAAATTGAAAAGGAGATGATGGAAAACTAAGGTGTTTCAGATGGAGTAAGTTGTAAATATAGAGGTTTAATAGATAAAAGTGAATCAAGGGGGAACCTGTCCTCACAGAGTGCTGTAAGGCCTCTCCCAGCCAGAATCAGAAGTACAAGAATGAGGGCACGAGATGAGAATACATCTCTGCATTTGTAATCTCCATCTTTGGAGAGTCTCAAAATGAGCTGCTGTCCAAATGAACCTTCCCACAGAGAGAAGGAAGGTGAAACTTGCAGCTTAAAACTCCTGATTGTAGCACTAGGCAGTATTTTCCAGGGGATCATCAGCAGTTGCATGACCAAAGACTGCAGAGAGAGGCAAAGAAAACATTTGGACATGAGACACTTCTCTGTACTCTAGGTTTTTATCACCCCTCTTCAACTTCTGCCTGGGAAAACGAGACTTTGCCCACACTTCCTATTTGTGAGTGGCTTCCATAATTCACATGCACCCAACAGCTGCCTTGTGGCAGAGGTGCTGTCATTTAATCCAGCAGAAGAAAGGTCCAGCTTCGATTTCTAGAATTCTGAATTTTACTTCACTCAGGTAGTCTCTCCTGGCACATTTAAATGTCAGGCAGCTATGTTTTAATTACTGGAGTTTTCTCTTTTTCAAAAAGACTTAAACAGAAACACGTTGTGCCCTTCATCTGATCCATCCCTGCACCACAGAGAATTACAGCTGCCAATGAAGTCAGGCAGAGCAGTACTAAAGGTTAATTTATAAACACAGTTGGAAATTACTAGTTGTACAGCACGGCCAGGTTTCATCTCTGGAATATATCTTCCAATAATAAAGCAAAATGCAGCTTCTCAAGCATCCAAAATCAAGAGTGTCATTGAGGCATGCACTTGTCTGTCTGTGTTCAGGGCTAACCAAGCAATTAGGGATCTTGATGTGGTGTGTGCTAACAGAGTGCAAATGAGAGACACCAAAGGAAACTAATAATACCAACCTTAGCAATGATTTTTTTATTCTCTCTTTTTTTCTTTTTTTGAGTCTTGGGATTTGAAGAATCAGCTTGACAGCCTGAAAACTGGCTAATAGTTTGCTCACTGTTAAACACAGTGCTGAGAGGAAATCTGTTCTAAAACCAGCCAACTGTCTCAAACTGCTTCTAAATATCACACCCCCACAGCATTTTCCAAGTGAGTCTAAGAATTTAGCAGCTGTGAAAGTAATACAGAAGGTGTCAACAGCTGAAATTAAGAATTTAAATTCAGTACTGCTCACATCCTTTCCAAAAGGAGCCCATCACGTTGCTCCCAGTAACTCACGGGAACCACCCCCCAACCATAAAACAGGAAAGATGTCTGCTGTCCTCCTCTGAGACAGAAATACAGTTTATAAAGCTCTTAAATATGTTCCACTCTGAAATCTCCAGTAAGATAACAGCAGCTATACTGGGTTAAAGAAGTCACCTTGTGTTCTTCCTCCATAGGCCAGTATAGAGACCCGAATGTGTCCTGATTAATGCCTTTTGCAAAGCACCAAACTATGCAAAATACCTCAGGTTGGTAAGGGATATGAGGTGCAAATGCCAAAGAAAGAGACTGAATAAAACAAAGCAATACTTACATGATTGCAGTCTGAAGAGATTTCATTATCTGGCTGAAAGGAGAAAAAAAAGGAGTGTCAGTTCACTACTGATGTGATGCATTCAACAGAGAGAAGAATTTAAACTTACAGAAACTCCTTACAGTCATCTCCTTCCCACTGTAGGAAATATTTTGAGACAATCAACAGGAAATTTTAAAAGCTGCATATAAAGAGTGATGACACTGAATTACCAAAAAGATAAGACTAACAGGTATTTTAGACACAATGCTGTCTTAACTCTACAGAACACAAATAGCACAAGAGTAGCAGCATTTATGTAGATGCTGCAAAAACATAATGAATGTGCTGGCACTTGCCCCAGTTGCCTGAAGTAAGAATGCAGAAAAGCATCTGTGGGAAAATAAAGATGCACTAGCAGAGTTCTAAAGAAACATAAGTTTGATGCCTACAACTGAAGGAGAAAGGTAGGACTCACTTCCCTCCCCCAGACCCAAACGTTCATATTCCCCATTTGAGAAGCAATGGCTTTTATTTCAGCTGTACATAAAGGAGTTGGTTCAAGGCAGCCCTGAGATCTACACCTTCAACTGTGAGAAACTGGTAACATCCAGTGTTCAGACATGATTTCAAAATATTCACGATATTCTCCCAGGGAGCTCCTTTGGAAAGAACTCTGGGTACAAACCATCTCATCCTCCTTTCAACCTGAGTGGCTCTCTCACAATGAAGAGTTCCTTGAAAAAGGTTAATCACACAAATCTGTATCTCCTCTCCATAGCAGAACAGCACAAAGGCAGGACAAAATCACCTGGTGGTCACACTCACATTAAAAAAAAAATCAACCCTGAGTCACAAAGTCTCTGCTTCCACTGATATTTAAGATGCCAGACATGCTTTAAGAGTCACAAGGCACTCAAAGCTTAAACACATCACTGACATTAACATGTTAGACCTCAGGTATCTGGTAAGAGAACCAGTATTTCATCCTTTTTGGAAGCAAGGAGAGTTTCTCACTGCAAACGTTTGCCACTGCACGATGTGCTACACCAACACTTGCACCATTGCTGCTTCAGGGAGCACTGACACAAGTGAGAAAAGCAAGCATGGAAAACGCTTCCAAGTTCTTAATTACAGCCATTATTTACTAAAGCACTTTTATTTTGTATAGCAGAAGTGGCAGAAATCACCTCTTCACTTTGAACATAAAAAATGGTACCTGAAGGACTCCAGTAATTAACTGCAGTTTAGTCAGACTGACACTATTTAAAATCGTATCTCCCAAAGTAATAATAAATTTGAAAATTAGGATATCAGCTTTTTTTTTTTTTAAAAGGCTAGCAGATGCCTGCTGGTTATCCTCAGACTGCAGAACTGATTCTCTCAACTGAAAACTAAGATGCCATCCAAATTGCTCTATTTTAAAGCACCCCCTGAGACCAACACTATCATGACTTACAAGGTGCGTTTTCCTTAATTTTCTGCACCCATCCTGTATCATTCAGCAACGGGCAAAGGTTTTAGGCTAAGGTAATTTCAAAAGCTGGGAGGCAGAATGCCCTCCACTGAAGTTGCTGTCTCAGTCTTTTAGTCAAGGATAGTTTCTTTATAAAAATACATCGACTAGCAGTGGAATTCTTCTCTAGAGATCAGGACTTACTAACACATCTGCAGGCAGAAGAATTTGTAAAGGCCAGAGAGAACTCCCCCATAACCCTTCTGGGTCATTTCAGTTATTTTTGTGTCCTCCAACCTGGTAACCTTTGCTTCAGATTCACCACAGATGAAAACTCAGTTTTTTTCTGGAAAAATGAGCCCAAGAAGACAACAGGAACTTGGGAAGCTTAAACAAGCTTTTCTTGAAATACACACGAATAAAATACTACACACTGAAACATCAGCCTTCCCTGTGCTCTGCAGCAAACCTCAGCTCTGGGAAATGGAGCCTTATTCTTCTGAGAAGAGAAACACAATTTGAATGGGACCTTAACTAAGCTTTAGCACTGCATTCATTCACAGTGCAACACTTAAATATGCAAAGCATAAGATCTAGCTAATAATCCTTTCAATGTGCAACAAGATGACCCCCTGCTACCTAAAGGCTGTGATCCTTCTTTCCTCTTACCACTGCAACTGTAGGAATGGTGGGTTCAGTGGCAAAACTGACCTGCTTCTCCATATTTAAGTGAACCAAAACGAGAAAAACAATCCTTTTATCTTTTGTCTGATAAACTGAAGGGCTGAGTTTGAAGAAGGGGGAAAAAATTCTCCCCAGAGCACCCCACACCAATCCTCCCTTGCTGAGGAGACAGCCTGTGGCCCTCTGTCCTTCCCAACAGGAGCACTTCGAGAACAATCCGCCTGTGTGGTGAGAGTCAGGAAAAAAAGGTAAGTTTCAAATTACCCCTGAGAGAAGCTGAAGAGCAAGAAAAGCTGCATTGTGTCAGTCCCACATGTCGAGCTAGAGGAACACGGATGCTCAGAGGACCCCGGGGGCAGGGGGAAGGAGGAGAGCAGCCCAGACCAGCACCACATGCTAGTCAAGGCATTTTAGGAGAGGAAGCTGAAGGCAAGGACATTCCACCGATTAGCCAGGGAGAAGGACTCCTCTTACACCTCCGAACTGAAGGATTAAAAACAGCCTTTACAAAAAGTATATGTGCCTCTGGGCTCACAGAAGCTTGTGCTGCTTAGCAGCTTCAGTGGGAATATATTGCCTCCCTCTGCAGTTCTCTAAAAAGCTCTGCAAACTCCTTCACGCACTAACACTCACATCCCAGAGCATGAACACCACTTCCTACCTCCCAGGAAAAGCAGAGTTTAGAACAAGTAACAACCATAACCTGAAGAGAAAAAGCATTTCCTTCCATTCAACCACAAACAGCCACAAATCCCAGTGCATTATTACTGTGAACTCCACAGAGAAATTCAAAGGTTTGTATAAACTCATATCACCCCCAGACTGAAGTCATCGACACTGCTGTGTCTAAAAGTGCCTTTTCCCACCCACCAGATATCAGCTTGCTGAAACAAGCCACGACAGTCATCCATCCCTTTCTACATCTCTCTGCTTGGGCAGCAGGATAAACTAGGTCAAAACTATACAGCAAGCAAGCAGCTCACCTAAACTACCCAGGCTCCAGGGGGCACAAGGTGTTGGTGCTTTAGCTGCAGAAATGGACCATCATCAGGCTGGGAACCACATGGAGGGTTGATGGTGATTGAACCAGTGTCATGGATCAGCACCTCCTGCTCAGCACATTGCCTGGGTGCAGTTACAGCCACTCCTCCAACATTAGTCAGACCCCTTTCAGTTGGGTGTATAAATCAGACTTGATTTGGTCCTTTTTCATCACATCTCAAGAAAAACTAATTCACATCATTGGATTTTGAAAAGCAAGGTAAGTATCCTCATCAGCTAATGTGGATGAGAGTGGTGAGGCACAGGTTGCCCAGAGAAGCTGTGTTCAAAGCCAGGTTGGATGGGGCTTGAAGCAACCTGGTCTAGTGGAAGGTGTCCCTGCCCATGGCAGGGGTTGGAACGAGATGAGCTTTAAGATCCCTTCCAACCCAAACCATTCTGTGGTTCTGTGAAACTCAAGGTCTTGGGAAAACTCTCTGCAGGGATTATTTGAATCTCCAGAATTAAGATTCCTTTGCTTCCTTGCAAAAGTCATACAAATAGAAGAGTCTGAAGTCAACTGCCCGAGTGCCTTAATTCCCAGAATTTAATCCCTCCCGAGAGCAGGAGAGGGGATGATGGCAGAAATTTCCACTATTCTCTTAAGGCAAGAGCAGCAGTGCACTTGCAGAACCAGGCATGTCTCAAACAGTAACTTTGGATAATCTTCAGGGCATTGAAAACAACAGACCTTGGACCTGCTCAGCCAAAAATCACCGAGAACCAACACGGAGCAAAACAGCAAAATAAAAAGGCATTTGGCTAGTGGATGGGAGGAACCCAGTAGATGTTCTCTCCCTAAATTCAGGAACAGATTGCAATAGGATCAAACAAGTCAGTCAGGAAAGTTAATGAAAGCAGCTACATTCCCATGAAAGAGAGGGTAGGCAGAAGTCCAGCCAGACTGTGGGTGTTCCCCAGATTATTGCACTGTCACACACTGATTATACTGCAGAGCACAGGGCACACAGAAACGCAGGACAGGCAGCTCAGAGGGGTTTTTCCACGTTGATCTAAACAAACACATTTATCATTATTATCTGCAGAGAAATGGTAGAGCAGCCTGTTGACCCAGGAGCTTCTAATGAGGTGGCCAGCAAGCTGATAAAGGGACAATTGACTTCTTAGCTGTGTCCTTCCCACAGAAAACAGGAATTTTTTTGCACCAAACACACCCAGCCAGGACAGCAAACTCTGAATAAAGTGATTAAATCTGCAGGTATCAAGCTACTTAGATTTACAACACCAGAAAACAGCACAGGTCAGATGCAAAGAGCCAGGAGAGATCAGGGTGAGCCACCCTCCTGCAAACCTGATCCCTTCCCAATGCAACCACCAGAAATGATTCTGCAGCAGAATCCGCGGAAACATGAGGAGACAGCAGTTCCTAGGCAAGAAATCAACACAGCTTTTGTAAAAGAAAAACCACATATCACACAACTCATGCTTCAAACGTACTGAAACATCCTGGAGCTCTGTGCCAACAAGCATATGGCTACAGTAAACCGTTTTCACACATCCTGCAATCCTGAAAAAGTCATGTGTGAAAGGAAAGTAGAAACCAGTGATAATTTAAGTTCAAAACAGATGAGAAGACTTTGTAATTTAATTACACATTTAGTGAGCAATGAAAGCTAAACTTGTTAAGCCAAGCTTGAAATATTCTCTAATGCCAGTGAACTGTTAGTACTAAAAACAAACTCAGTGTTGTCATGTCAGCAAAAAACCTCTATACTTACCATCCATGTTTTGAAAATAGCCAGTTTAAAGAATGGTACTGTGGATATATCACCAAAGTTACAAGCTCCTAGCTTCATATACTTTGCTTGTTTCATACAAATAATTTTTCCCACTTACAAACAGAGCCGAAGTC